GCTTACAGTGTCATCTGCGACCGATCACTTCAATGCTGATTTCCCCACTACGTGCAAGAAAATACCACGCTATTTTGTAAAATACAGTCTTCACAAGTCCAGCATTTGTTTACTTGTGTCCTTCTCTGGTGTCCAGACTTCCCTCGTCAAATAAACGCATGGTTACTAAGCAATCGTTTTGTAGCATTCTCCAGCGCTTTATTTTCATTCCATCGTTCCATTTTCATTTCAACTGTGGGCTTTAGCAATGAAGAGAACTGTTGTCTTTCGCAGGAAATGGGGAAATTGATTAAAGAGAACCTTTTAAAAGGTATTTTCAGAGATGATTAACTTATTTAAAATGTCACTGCAAATACACAACATTAAATTTCCTCAAGTTTATTTGTGAACATTTTGATGCGCGAACAAACGATCACCTTTTTTACAAAAGTGCATTTTTGGTTTTTTTTTTTTTTTTTAAAATCATGCTTGAAAGTTGGGGGTGCGGCTTATACACGAGTTTTTACGGTAAACAGAATTTAAAAAAAAATTCATTTCGACCAAAGGAAAGGCCTATAAAGTATCTTATTTACAATCTTCTCCTGGGATAACATAACAGCCTTTCTCTTACATAATCTACCAGGCAATTCCAAAACTGCCCATCCTCCCTCCCTGGGCATTTGACTGGAGTTTTGCTGCACACAATGGATAATTTGACCCAAAGTGAGGAATGCCCAGACAGGCATTTGACTTTAATGTCAAAATTCTGGTCAGTGTTGCGAGCAAAAAGATTTCGTAATTCTATCTGCATTCAGAATGTGCAGCGCATTGCTCCAAAATTCAATGTTTGTTGGGGCATTTGAGAGCCTTTTAAAAGGCCTGTTAAATGTGGGATATCTGGAATGAGAAATTTTAATGAACAAACCACTGTAAAACAGCTTTCTGAGACTTAAGATATTTCGGCTGTGTTTAGCAGGATGTTCACATTTTGAATAACCAGTTTGACGCGTGAGAAAATTATTGAATGGTTACTTGGTGGAGGATTTGACGCTTTTTGGTGTGCTAGCTGGTGGGGTATTTGACCATATACACTGTGAACATACTGGGGAATTTGACAAAAAAGAAATAAAAATGTCTTGAAAATACTCGGAAGGTGATGGGCAGTTTTGGAATTGACTGGTACAAAACATAACTCATTTTACATCACTGATGAAGTTTGTGTGATTCGAACGAAAAAAAAAATTGTTTCAGACTGTTTTCCCCTGAATTTTGAAAGTATTTGTTAAATATCTTTTCCTATTTAACCGTGTTTAAGCAAGGCACATTTATAATGTAAAATCCGAATTACGTTCGTAAAAAACGAATGTTCTGTCATTGCTTGACGGTTAACAGTTCCTGTATTATTTTGACAAGGTAGTAGATTCCTCTTTTTTTGAACGCATGAGAATATAGATATTTCCTTACATCTCTTGTTGGCAAGAAAACCGAACTCATCCAGCATGGGGTGACCCTATTTGGCGGAACAGCGGACTGATGGAACGGAATGATGGAATACATGGAATATTCTAAAATACGGAATATACGGAATACTCTTAAACACAGAATTTACAGAACATTCTGTATTTGATTTGAACAACACTGACAAAAAAGCAGAGGCAAAGAATACACGGTTGTTTTGAAATCATGTTAAAAATTTTTCCATACACTATAGACCTCTGATATGACGGTTTTGAAAGTCATCTTGATGAGAAAACAGGGCTTGACGTTGCGACCTGTGGGGTCGCCAATGCGACCAGCTTTTACTCAGTGGCGACCAAATTTTCACCCCTGGTCGCCAGCCTGGCCTCCAAGATAGGTGACTTTCTTCCTTGGGAAAACGCACACTAATGATAATCCATTATCCTTCACAAAACTAACGAATAGCTAATGATTTTTCAGGGTTTTTCTATCGCCATAACGTTTTGCCCAAATGCTCTGAACTAATGGTTGGTCCACACCCTCTAACGATTTGTCTAAACGCTTTAATGATTTCTACACTCTAACGGATTATTCTTATGATTTCCTGAACCTTAAGCTTGCATACCTGTTTGAAGAGATTTACGCTTGAGTGCGGGCTCATTTTCCTGAACAACGGCTGGTAATTGAGCCTCGAGCGAAACCTGTTCGAAAGAAAGTTCAAGTTCAAGTTCAAGTCTAAAGCATTCTTTTTCTGTTAAGGCTAAGAAAAAGATGTTAAGTTTATTGTATTCCATTAATTCTTAAATATAATTTTTGGCGACCAAAAATGAAAACTTGGGGGACAGCTGGCCCCAGGATTAATTTTTAAAAGTCGAGCACTGGAAAAGGGTCTTGTAGGAGAATCTAATGTCGGATAATTTTCATAAAACGGCTGTTCTGGAAGCAAAAAAAAGATTTGTAAACTTAAGCTTCACAGCAAAGGATTGTACTAACAATAAATGGGGGGCACACTTGTGGCTAAATTTGTCCGGTCGCTTGCTTTAGATTTTCTAGACATTTGTCCGCAATTTTTCATAGGAAATTTAAGTCGGCAGGAAGTTTAAACATTTGGTTGTTTCTCAAAAAAGAAATATGCACCCTCCTGAGTTAGCATAAGGTTCAAGTCAGTAGTGAGGGTTCGAGTTATGGGAGTCGAAATGTTTATCCTTTTCAAAAGATTTTTCTCTTATCTTGGGTTTTCAGAATATTCCGTACATTCCGTGCTTTATTTTAGAATATTATGTAAATTCCGTGTTTTAGTATATAATTTCCCTACTTTAGAATATTCCGTGTATTCCACAATTCCGTTCCCTCATTCCGTCAGTGGGCCGGTCACTCCCCAGCATGAGCAGTGTGTCATGGAGACCGTTGAATCAAAGGTAAAAACTATTCCAAAGATTCCCTTCAGTCTTATAAGTATATCCGAGGCTCTGCAGTAGATTAAATAAGGCTATATGGTAGCATTATATATCACAAAGGTAAGCATAATAAGGGCCACAGTCGAGACGAAAAGCTCATATTTTATAACTGACCTCAGTTGGTAACACGCATGGAGTTGTATTTCCCGTCACCGTCCAGTATCTGTTAAAAACAAATTACATTATCGCAACATTTAAGACTCACAACATCCATCAAAATACTTTCAAAACGTTGGGCAGTATATTCCGTGTATAGTTCTTACCGTTTGGAGCTGAAAAAAGCCAAGCGCTGTCAATGAACGATCCATGCGTTGTACGTTTCAAGAAACTTTTAAATAAAATGAATCACATGCGCGGCTGCTCAGCTACGATGCACGTGCATGCACGAGATCGAGGCAACGTAACGGTGCCTAGACCCCAGGCTCTCTTGATGTGTACTAGTAATCCTTTATAGTAATCCCCTCCTGTTAGCAGTCAGGGCCGCATCTCCTTGCTAGCAACAGCCAACTTGAGTTGAGCGCCGCTTCTGCAAATTGCTGTCGACTCCCCGAGTGGGGATTTTGCGCGTCCTTCGATGTAAGACATCGTAACTTATTGGATGCGTGCCAATTAACACAGGCCTTGAACAAGACTCGAGTAGTATGTACGTCAACTGTCTCTAAATGATAAAATTTCTTTCTACTTGTAGGCGTCTCAAACTCACTATGTGCGCACATGTTAAAAATAAATGCATCTGGAAATATAAATTGTGTAACGTAGTGGTTTATAGGATTTGTATTAGAAACGTAAACATCAGCGAAAATATCGCCTTAATCAGTAAAACGGGCAACCAAAAACGCGCAACTTGTTTTGCAACATTGCTGCAAAACGAGTTGAAAACCCGGGGGGCTCCACATAAAAAAGGGGTGGGGATGCTCGTCGTCTCGCTTAGGGGTTTAGATTTCGGTTTTCGGTCTCATTTAGGGTGTTCTGGGCAAAACGCCATCACATTTAGCCGTGAAGGTCTCGTTTAGGGTTGCACGCGAAAAAATATAAAAATATACATATTTTCTGTGTTTTAACATGGTCTCATTTAGGGCTCAAAAAAAGCTTCGGTCTCCTTTACGGGTTTAATTCAAAATTTCCGACGAGCATACCCACTCCTTTCATTTGCGGAGTACCCCCCCCCCCCGGGGGTTGAAAAGCGATCTTGCGCATTTTACCACCCACATAAAACCTGTCCTGCAACAAATCAGGTTGTTTTTTAAAACAGGTTTAAACGTGGGTAGTAGAACGCCCGAGCTATTCAACTCGTTAAATGGTCTATTCCCTTTTTTATAGTCAAAAAGGTGATTGAACATAATTTTATGTCTTATTACGAAGAAAAAAATTGTATTTTTTGACCAAAATCATGGGTTAATCCCTTCGGAAAAATGTGATTTTTGGGACTCTGAAAAATTCTTTTTTTACAGTGTAAAAAGGTTTCTTTATTATCTACATTTTGATTTCCAAATACCGAATGGTCCACATGACCCTTTTATCAAAACTAAACAAACTTCATTTTCCGTTTTTTTTTACCTAAGAGATTTAGAATGGCGACAACGCGAACTAGATGGAGAAACAGAGAGAATTTATATCGCTTAGAGAAATCCAACGGGGCAGTTAGCAATAATCGAAATTACGGAAAATTGTAAAGACCCGGTTATCTAGTTTTTTTTCTTCATCATGTTATGATCCATTTTCTGTCAGTACACAGACAATCACCCTGCAATCACCAACATCGACCAACCCTGTAGAGACACTGGATGCCTTTCAGACGACCTCCCTGCTTTGTTGCAGGATCGCGATGGGTGGCGTGATAGGGTCATGAATGCCCGAGCTAGCTCGACGTGATGATGATGATGATGATGACAGAGACAAAAGTAGCCGCCAGGAAAATTCGAAATCTCAAAAGACGTCCAAGTTTTGTCTAGAGGGAGACTGGATATTTACTATAGACAATAGAGACAATAGGCTAGATTGAAAGTAATACGTTAATCAGCTTAAGATTAAACGGTCATAATTGCAAGATCGACGGACATAATTTTTCTGTTGAAAGCGCAAACAGAGGAAACACACAATACATGTTGTGTAACGCATTTTACTGAGAATATTCCAATGCATTGTAATTGTCCGCATGCTTCTCAATTAAAACACCTGTTCACCATTTCAATGCATCTTAATATTTTTTAACTTGATATTGCGCAAATTAACATATATCAAATGATCAAATGCACATGATCTTGCCCCCTCCAAACTTAAACATTATCATTGTTTTTAATTTCTACTGGGTATTACAGTCACCTCAAGAGAAATCGAAGACGATGGTTATGAAAAACTTTTGGGGGGTAGACAAAGTGCATTATGGTCTCGGCGAAAATGGTGAATAAAGAATTGTTTCTGTTCACTCGGTAAAGATCTAGCTTTACTCTAAGTAACAGGGAGAATGTTCCTTTCTTGCACATATCGACAGGGTTGTGCGGTCAAATACCAGCTTTGCGCCTTCTACCCTTTGTAAGGTACTTCCGTGAGTTTCTATCTTGAAAGCATGTTCATAGTGTTTACGCGCATGTTTTTTATGCAGGCTGCCGCTGCCTCTTGGACTCGCTCATCCGTCGATCCTGTTAATGTCAATAACGTCTGTTGAAAAAAGAGAGAACGAAATAAAAAAAACCACTAAAACTACTTTGATTACAAAACAAATTCTCTTCATTAGTAACACTACACTAATTTTTTTCGGGTTAATTTGCAATTGCTTTAATTGCAATTACCACTGCGACGATCATATCTTCATTTAACTTTGTATTTTCCCCGACGAGAATAAGCAATGTTGTACAAACAAGATTAAACAATAGTAAGAGTTATTATGGTGAAGTTGATCTTAGCGATTACAAGTCACGTTACCTTCAGAGAATCATGCTGGTGAATCAAGTAACAGTTATACTGGTCACGTGATAGTTTTTCTAGCGCCCAGGCGACCGCTCGTTTGACGGCCACGTCAGAGGAACGTTTGAGGCTGTCCGCCAGGGGAACGACCACTGGTGAGAATGACTTGATGTTCTTTTCCAGGCCACTGCACCTAAATTAGAGTTGTCACAAATTTCGTTTAAAAGATGAAAACGAGCATATAACGTCTGCATAACTTATTTATAAATACAAGAAAGATTGGCTTACGTTGCAATCGCCTCCGCGACCCATCGCTTTAGCTCTTCATCTTCCTACGCATAAGAAAAAACAGAGATTTTTCAAGACCCATGCTATCTTGTCATAAAATCTTACGATATCTTACAAAAATCTCTACAACAAGGACACCATTTCTGTTAAAGCTAAATCAGTACATAGGGGTGAAAAAGGTAAAAACTTACATAAAAATATAAGCGGCGATCCGATACTCAGTTGCTTGTTGAAGAAAAGATAAGCTAACTATCACCGCACGTTGTTCAAGGTGCAAACTAGTTTTGTCATGAAATTCGAAGAATACGATAAGATACATTTTCAAGGTTCAGGACAATGTCAAATAAATCACCAAAGGAAGGAATTTATATGACAATGTACGTCGAAAGAAATAAAATTAAACTCGCCAAGCATGGACTTTGTTTTCTTCCTTCTTTAGAAAGTCCAGAACGAAAGTAAATCTACCTATGTTCAACAGTTAGTACGGCCTTCAGCAGCTTCTCAATGGCGCACGATTAAGGTAAGGCACAGCATACCATCGTGACATGCGCAGTAATGAGCCGCACATTATCGGGGAAAAAGATTGTGATGTCTAATGTTAAGCCAGATAAGAGGCAACTCATTCGGTCGTATTACCGTAGTGACCAGGTCAATAAGCAGCGGTACCACCTCATAGTCAGTCAGGATAGAGAGGTTCTCTCGGTCTTTGCCGATGTTGGTTATTGCTTTATTGGCACATATCAGCACCTGAATACAAAACATAACGAGAAACATTTTGTTTGACCTCGTAGCTGGCGGAATTTCGCGCACGCAGGTATATTATATTATGATGGATATTCTTGGCGTTGCAGTCACTGGAAAAGCCGGGAAAAAGTTTTCTCGTGCTCAGTTTCGGACCACTCATGCAAACTGCTTGAAAACTCATTTCAAAGCCGTTACTTTAGACAATAATAATAATAATAATAATAATAATAATAATAATAATAATAATAATAATAATAATAATAATAATAACAATAATAATAATAATAATAATAATAATAATAATAAGTAATGGTAACAGGACTGAGTGGAGTCCAATTCGGTCTGTAATCATTCGCGGTCGTCCGATTTGTTTAATCACGAGTATGATTACAGACCGAATTGGACGACACGAAGTTCTGTTACCAATTAATCATAACTTCAACAAAATTTGTGATATAATAGGCTATTTTTTAAATCAAAACACAAGAAATTCGAAATTTTGTTTCGCTAGCAGTGAAAAAAAAGAGCCATTTAAGCGCGCGCGTGATGGTGCGTACTGTCCAATTACTTAGGCACGACGCGTACTGTCCTATTAAACTGTCCAATTAAGGCTGAAATCAGGGCAGTTGATAGCCAATCAGATTTGACAATTTTGTTGTAGTTATGACTATAATAATAATAATAATAATAATAATAATAATACTTTCATATTATCCTCTCCCTTTATGGGGCTTTTCAGGGATAATAAAACAAATAATTGAAATGGAACATAACATTTTTAAGAATCCCACTCAACTGGTAGGAGACAAACCAGTTGGCTATTTTACAAGCGTGGTGGAGGATTTGAACTGGAAACTACCGAAAACAAATCCAGCTAGCGGTCTAGTCCAGCGCTTTAACCGCTCGGCCACGTTCCTTCGACAAAGTGTTTTCCCACTCTAGGCTCCAATAAACGGCTTCCAATGCTTGTATTTAACAATTATTCCTCGAGCCCGAATGGGCTCTGAGTCAATAGCCCATGAGGCCGAAGGCTGAATGGGCTATTGACCTCAAAGCCATGAGGGCGAGAGGAATAATTGTTTTGGTAAAATCCAACTAGTTGGTAAAAAATATCGAGACAAAACAACTTTAGCTAGCAAAACGAGATTCAGCCGCCATTGTTTTGGTTTTCAAAGCCGGCACTTTTCGCTACTAGTGGGCTATAACATATAGCCTAGTAGTTGCTCAACCAGTCAGAACGCAGCCTTGATAACAGACCACTAGTTGGATTTTACTAAAGTCTGATAAACTCCATTGTTTACAAAAGGTCAGGTGAAGTCGACTGACCTGCTTGTTATCAGACCGAAGAAGACTGGTAATCAGTTCCAGACCTCCAACAAATGATCGTACCACATCAGCAGACTCCTGGAAGGATGAAGTAAAAGCAACAATTCAGGCCCTTAGATAGTGTCCGGCGGCGCCAAAAAAAAATCAGAATGAATTTTAATCATCATAGTTATTATTTGAGTTCAATAGGACACTACAAGCAAACGCACTCACTAACTTCATTTCATGAAAAAACTTTTCTTACCTCTACGTCCACAACACACTCACCAATGGCTTCAGCAGCTCCAGCCACAACCTACAATATAACATGTGTTAGAACGAAGATAATGAGGGCTGTAAAAGCACTAATGAAGATAAATGAGAGGATGAAAATAGCCAAGATGTCATCGCTAGTGACATTGATGACGATGGCCATGATATTAATGAAAATGACGATGGTGATAGTACATAAAAATGCTGCTTAAATCAAGGTACTAATGATAATCACGTGATGATGGTGATCATTACGATAGTAATGATATAAATAATGCGAATGATGACGGGGATGATGATGACGATGATGATGATAATGACGACGAGAATCATGACGATGATGATGATGACGATGATGACGATGATGATGATGATGATGACGATGATGATGACGATGATGACGATGATGACGATAATGATGATGATGATAATGACGATGATGACGATGATGATGATGATGACGATGATGATGACGATGATGATGATGATGATGACGATGATGATGACGATGATGACGATAATGATGATGATGATGATGACGATAATGATGATGATAATGACGATAATGATGATGATAACGATGATAATGACGATGAGGATGACGACGACGACGACGATGATGATGATGATGATGATAATAATGGATTATGGCTTTGGATATGACGTCGATCAGGTAATGATGATAATACTGAATGCTTTGAAATCCTTTTCATACCTCTGGATCGGGAAATTTCAACAAAGACCAAAGAAGTCTTAATCCATCTGTACTCAGTACCGAACTATAAAAGAAAATAGTAATAAAAATATAAAAAAAACTAAATACACACTATCTCCAGGCGACTTGGTGTTAGCCGCATATAACTGGTCAAGCGGTAACAAAAAAAACGAGTCATCTGCAACGAAATTGTCCCTTCAAGAGGGCGACTTACTCCAAATAGCCTGAGGGCATGCTCCGTACTGTAAAATTTCTAAGTTCACCCGCTTGTGTAAACAGCGTCAATTTTAAATGGTTGACGACTTAAAAGCTCATTAGCTCACATTGGTTAATAAACGATCCCCAAAACTCTTTGGGCTGAACGCTCTTTTCCAGTCTCCCCAAAGTTTGTGGAGTGTAGAATACGGATCCTAATTCGTCACTTTGAAAACGAGAAAGAGACTGGGGTCGAGTTTCAAAGTCTCCTAGCCAAGACCATGTGGAATGTATGTAGAGCAGTGTGGAGAACATGGATATTGATCTAAAAACTAACCTTCTGCATATTGGTTCTTTAGCGCAGACTGCTAGAAGTCTTGTGGCATTGATGAGAAGAGCATTTTCCGTGATTGTCAGCGCTCGAACAACAACTGGAATAACTTTCTCATCCCTGATGCAGAGAAGAGTTCGCTTGCTGTACTGTGCAAACTCATGTAAAGCACCAAAGGTGTTGGCTAGAACCTGGAAAAATGTGAACCATCATCAGCCTTAAATTACAAGAGCATCGTGAAACACACGAAGAGTTCAGAAGACCTGCACCATTCTAAACCTCTTATTTTACTGGTCCCCTTTAATCTGCACCTTCATTTTTTTCAGGATAGGGGCATGGTTATGTGACAATCCTTATTGTTTTCGCAGCTAATCAAAAACAATCTTTCAAATAGGTGCGGGAGCGCCCGAAGAGTTCGCCGGGAGTATAGCTTTTCAATCAATTACGACATTGGCCATTCGCCACATAGGAAACGAGAGGGGACTGGAACACCGCAATTGTTACTGCTATTGCTACACATGCGCACTAGGCATGGCATTGAACATCTAAATATCAATCCTGCTTTATCGCAGCTTAAATCAAACTAGTGCGAAGCCCAAGGATTGTAAGCCCAACAGATTTCGCTTCAATCATTTTATTCAAGTTATACCTAAGCTTCACAAATACTCCATCAATATTATGATGTTTAATTAGCCCCATCCCCGGTGACCTAACATACCTCATGTGATTGATCTGGAGTTTTTAACAGCAAGATTAACGATTTCACAGCGCCAAACTGTTCAAGCCTGAAGTGCAATAGAGACAATCTTTATTACTCAGAATGTCCCTTAAAATTAAGCTCCATAAGAAAAAGGAGTTGGGTCAGTAACCATGTTACTAGGCTTTCCAGTAAGATAGTGGAGTGAGTCTATTAGAGTTCGACGCAAACACAACTGAGTTTTGAAAATACTTTTTAAATCTCGACAACTAGAGTTTGATGCACACCTGTCTCTACGTACAAACTGTGACTATTAAAAGGCAACTGTAATCGCAAAAAACTCCTAAAAGTATACAATACGCAAAAAACAGCTAAAAATACACAAACAATAAACGTCTAATGAACCCAAACTGCACTGAAGGCTTGGACACTGACATAGCTACAAAACAGGCGCACACACAAATTTCTAGGCGTAACATTCCTGGCACTTACAGTAACAACACAGAGTCGTTGTTCCTCTACCTTTTTACATTATTTTTGTTCAGAGAACACTTCCACATAGCTCCAACCGTAGCCGCGAGAAGCTGCTTTTCAGATGACCTGGACGCCATTAACTGGACGAGAAGTTCTAGTCCACCATGACGAGAAATAGTCTCCCGTGTGACGTCATCTTCAGCGCACTGTGTAACGAATGAAACAACAAGTTAAACAGGTTTGGCACTTCATTAATGTTTCATCTATGTTAATTTTTGAATTTAAAGCAAACTAGACATACTCAAAATAGTTGGTAAAATTTAAAAAACTAATCAAGATTGAGCTAAGCACATTCAGGAACATCTCACACTTATCGATTTTTTTTTAAAATAAAAGATGTTGTCGCGTACCTTAAACAGAGCAGTTGCACAAAGTGTTCTGAGCGACACATCTCCTCCCTTGAGGTGCTTGACAATTGTCTCCACTATCCCCTCCCTGCGGATATCCTCCCGAAAAGCAGGCTGCCAAAAATACCAACCATAACACTCAATTACCTCTTCAAATTCAAGATTACTTAAAGGTACGAAAACACGCAACTAAGGAGTAATCATTGAGGGAAAGAAAAACCCCATGATGTCGACAAAAAGATGATTCTGCAGCGATAATCACATTGTTGGATATGTCGGTCGTTGACAGCAATTAATGTTTCAGGACCATGATAAAAATTCCCGAATAATAAATTCGGCCTGTTTTTTTTTTTTACTCATCGATTTTCCTTTAACATCCTTTTCCGGGCTACTGTTCAAAGATTTTTATCAAAGTTGCTTTTTGTAATCAAAACTTGAAAAAGCCAAAGAGGTTGTGAGCCACTACGTGACTCGAACCCCGGTTAACTGCAACCCAGGGTTCAATTTAAATGGAAATTGATCCTGAATCTGCACTGATCTCCTATCAATTCAGCCCAGACTTGCTTATCCCTTACGTACCTCGGTGGCGCATTCTTGAATGATTCCCATTGCGGGTAAAATGACATCATCTTGTCCACTAACCAATAAGGAAGCGAGTATCGGTAATGCGCCAGCAGCGCGGATGGCCTGGATGTTTTTCCGGCATCTGCTACAACTCCATAATGCCATACACGTGTGGTGAGTCAGCCTGAAGTCGTCTTCACCTTTAGGAGAGTTTTTATGGCGTCGTTTGTTATCAGGCTGAAGAATGTTAACCTGAGAGAAGTTTAACGAAGTAAAAATACAGAGATTTCCAAACTTAGCTAACATTTAACTAAGTAACGAAACAGTAAGTATATTGTTAATGATATATGAAATAAATCATATATGAACTGCGGAAATGAAATTAATGAATGAGCTGTACTTCTTTACGCAATGATTAATTGCCAGTGATCATTTCTTCATTTTCAGTAAGAAACAGTTTATCAGTGATTTATCTGTGGAATTACAAGTGAATTATGTTAGAGCGACTTTTTCTTTAGTGTATTAAAGCTGATTGCGCAGACAATTAATGTAATGAACCAATCAGAAAAAGGAGTACATATAGCCATGTAACTGGGGCCGAAAGCGGGAAAACGTGTGTCAACAAGTCACGACTGGCTTTATGCCGAGGTGAATCCTGATTGGTTGACACAGTGGCGTGAGAAATATTAACCAATCAAAAGGCTAGAACCTGTGAACCAACGAACTAAAGAATGAACAAATCAGAAAAAGGAGTACATATAGCCATGTAACTGGGGCCGAAAGCGGGAAAACGTGTGTCAACAAGTCACGACTGGCTTTAAGCGGAGGTTAATCCTGATTGGTTGACACAGTGGCGTGAGAAATATTAACCAATCAAAAGGCTAAAAACGAACAAAACCAAGGCAATATCGACGTTTTCTTACCAACCGCTTGATTCCTCCTTCTCGCCTAACGGCATTATAAGCCAATCGAAACGTGATAATTTGACTAAGCGTCTCGGCCGCGAGGGCTTGGATCTCTTTAACGTGGCTTTGAAGACAATCTATCAGCTGCTTGATGCCTACACATAAGAGAGAAAAAATAGCAAGGCCTGGTTTACCGAGAAAAGCAACGTGAATTAACACCCAAATGATAATCCCCATTTTATGGTGTGGTGACACAAGTGGTGACAAGTGAATCCTAGTCAAGGTGAAAATTGGGGTGTTAACACAAAGTGCTTACTGTCTGTCTCACGTTGTACATATACGACTTTGCACTACTTACGTATACAGAGAATTCACAAGCCGCTACTAAACCAATTAATGCGACCAACAATTAGTCCTTGCACTCAAAATATTTGAAATGAAATTACCTCACTGCAATTACTTCAGCCTTTTTACACCATATTAAATGATATCGTTTGATACTATAAAACTACCTCCCAGACGATAAATTTCCATGTTTATCCTCTTGGTTTTCGTTATAATCTTCAGGATTCTAAGAGAGGCAACCTAGAAAAATATATTTATGAACAAATTGATCACAACAATGATCGTTTCTTGGGTTGGTGTAATGCCCGATAACCCTGGAAACAGAACTAAATTTCCCCATAAGTCGTCGATAGCCGCGATAAGTCGTCGATAGCAGGCGCGAAAAAAAATGAAAAAAAAGGTTCTCACGGTTCCCATGACAGAAGTAGTTCTGGAGTAAAAAATTTTAGGTAATAGCCCCTTTTTCGGGGTTAAAGTCTGGAGTTAAAATAACTCCGAAAAAGTGAAAATTTTAGGGTGTTTTTTCTTCCTTTAAAGGGTTGTTTTTACTCTTTTGGAGTTAATTTAACTCTGTGTGGTTGGGTGCCTTTTTGGGGTTATTTTAACTCCTCAATATCTGGGGTCACTTTTCAAAAGAGTTCTTTAAACTCATTAAAATAACAAAAAAATAACTCCACTTCCCACATTCCGAGCCCAAAAATCGACTCGCATTGATTGTTCCTAGTCTAGTTGCAGGCGACAAGAGGAGCCTGCAATCCTAATTTCCAGGTTGCTATTACGCATGAGCGCACTTATGAAGCCACTATTTCTTTAGACTTCCACTAGGAATGAATGGAATGCACAGAACGCAATCTGATCACGTGCATTTGGACTTTGGACCTTCTATCACTCGCAATCTTATCGCGCGCATTTGACCATCTATCACATGAAACTTACGTTGGAGCGTTGGAGCAAGAGCGTTTTGACCGTCGACTGTTGTCGCCTGTACTCGGTAACCTTTAGTTATTGCATAGTTAGTCCCCTCTACTAACTGTGGTTATTATCAAGAACAAGGAAGCGCTTTTTGCCCGCAACATGTGGCATATGCTTTGAACCGCGCCATTAACTCACGGCGTCTCGCGAAGAACAGGTGACTGCGCTACTTACTACGCAACGCCAATGATCTGTCTTGAGAATATTAAGAAGAATGCTTATTCCTCCCAGCTCCATTATCGCCAACTGATTCGTCTCCAGCTCAAGGCCGACATCCCGCAAAGCACAAAGGCAGATGACAGTAGCGGTAGGGTTGCTAACCTAGGAAATGATTGTGCTGTTAGATAATCTACAGCTGGGCCGGGTTGTTCGAAGCTGGGTTAAGATAACCCAGGGTTAGTCACAGGGTCCAGAGGAGTTTCGTGTGAATAAATGAATTACTTATTTTAAGTCTCACCTTGAAAAATGTCTATACCTGTCACTTAGCACGATTAATTAGCCCAATGGGATCTTAATGAATCTACTGTCAACGATTTCTTCGCTTCTTATCTGACCAGATCGACTCTGTAAGCCGATCTTGCGAGCCCTCAGTCTCTTGGTTTGCGGTCTATTGAATGTGTAAAGAAACTGTAACGTGATCAAAATAACCGATTTTTTCAGAGGTTTTCGACGGGTTTTGATGTTCTAACGACAAACACATCTCCTCTGGACCCCGTGGGTTAGTGCGAAATTTGAACTCAGATATGAGAGCTTAAAAAACAAATTCAGTTTAATTCTCTTTGCCTACAATTTGATGATTGGATACTCTAAAAAGAATATAGAAAATTATCCGAGAGAGTACTTTTGATGAAAAGAAACAGCCTGTGAACAGGCTCTCTGTTTGGGGAAAGGGTGAAAAAATCGCGAGGTTCACAGGTTAGAAAAGAAAAAGAAGCCCAGGTTAAAATTTAACCCTGGGTTAGCGCTAACCGGCGTTCGAACAACTGAGCCCAGTCGGACTTTCACTAACAACCATAGCCTGAGTAGCAGGCGCTTGGAAGTAGTGGGCGATAGAGAGAACAGGCGCGCGCGAGGGAGACACGGAGAGGTGTCGTGTCGTGTCCTGTCGTGTCGTGCGTGTCTCCTTCTCGCGCGCCCGTTTTTTCGTGTGCCCACTAATTCCAAGCGCCTGCTACGCAGGCTATGACAACCACCTCTCTACAAAGGAAACCTTTTTTTGTCCTAAAGGTGGCCCTTGTGGAGAGGTTCGAATGAATTCACAAACTCAAAAAACCCAACCAAACTAAAGATACGCAGATCACCAACGGGTTAAGTTGATTTATTTATTAGCGCAAAGGGGCGGGAAAACTTTTCGCTGATGTTTAACGTTTGAAAACGTGTGGTTGGTGCCAAATTGCGGAGAAATTGGCGGCTGGTGACAACAAACGTGGGAAATCTGTCGCTGAAAAATTTGACGCCGAGAAATTTGGCCGCTGGTGCAAAACGCGGGAAAAGGTGTTGATGGTGCGAAACGCATGTCATCGGTATCGCGCGTGGCCAAGACGCTAAATAAGAGAAGACAGTCAAAAGGAGCTAACGGAAAGGTTACTAAAATAAAGAAAATGTGTCCAGTATAATATGATAAATTGCAACGTTTGTTCAGCGTATGTTCAATTTCAACGCTGCCCATTCCTACACTCACTCACCTTCAAAAATCTGATTAGTTTGTGAATTTCCCAGTACTCTGAAGTAAGCTCGAGGTTAACCTTCAAAAAGGAGAAAACATGGTAATACCGACATTTGCAATGTTATCAAGACACAACAAATAAGCTTAACATTCCAGAAGTGTAAGTTACACTAAACGATGGCTTTGTTTTTCGGTAAGAAGAAGAATGTACACGCTCAGCGTCTGATATCAATCATAGGGACAAAACGTAGTATTGATTTTTTTAATCTTTGGACCAAATCTGCCATTTCGAGATGACGATATTTTGGTAAGACAGTGACGTCTTAATATTCCAGCCTTACCTTTCTTGTCAGTTCTTCTTCTTTTTCGCTTTCGGAACTACTCAACGACGTGTCACTCAAACGCTTGTCAGTGGCATTCTTGTTAGAGCCGCTTAGACGCGTCGCTGCGGATTTATTTCTGGAAAGGAAAATTAGAGGAAAGTTAAGAGAATACGAGTAGGTTTTGTTAAAGAACGGCTCACGTTAAAACTGATGCAACTGAGAGAAGAACCTTACCCAGAAGCGGTTTTTTCTTTTGCTTTATTCCTTGCATTGTTCCTTCGCTCTTTTGCGCTTAAGATGTAAAAAGAAATGATTTTAGGAAACGATGACATATGACAGAGAAAAGTTAACATAACCCTACGGCATTAAGTACGTACTCTCAAGATAGGATAATGCGGGAACTATCTTTCTTTTTTGGTGATGATTATGGCTGCAAATAGCTTTACACTTTAATCCGCTTTCATTTACTTACCTCCCGTTAAACAGGTTTAACTGGTTATTTTTCCAAAGCGTCTCATACGTTTTTTCTCGTGATGACTTTTGGGCCGGTTTTTGCCCAGTGGTCTTTCTTGGCGAGGAGTCTCGTACCACTGGGGCTCGCTTTCTATCTGTCTTCTTAGAACTTGTTTCCGACCTTCTGCCGGTCCTACCGGTCTGCGAAGAGATCTTTGTGCGCGAACTTTTCTGCTGTGATGCACTAAAAAAACCAAAGTTCAACCTATGAATGCCACAACTATTTTACGGTAAACATTTACAACGAATGGTTAACGTCGACATTTTGTAAACTCTCAAGTCCCATCAAATCATCAAGAATACATCATAAAATATCCAAGTTGGTGGTTCTGCAAAACTAATGACGTCATCTGACATCAAAATCAGCAAAGATCACATATCTTTAAGTGAACTAACACAATGGATCATCTGTGGAAATAACATTCTCAAACACATTTATAATTCATAAAGGAAATTCAAAGGAAATTAATGTTTAATGAGTGTTTGGATATCTGATGAAAAACTGCTCATTTTTGCGGATTCAAAAATAATTTTGTTTGGAAAAATAAACATTACAAAGCTCCGCTGCGCGTCGTATTTTCAACTCTCTTCTCGGTGTTTCATCTGGTGATGAAACACTGCATCTCATGTTTGATATATTACTTACAAAGCGGGAATCTCAAATTTTTAAGGGAATTCAACAATTCCTATTATACATGAGCGGGGAGAATAAATTTGATCACCTTTTTCTATTTTGCCGGTCGTCTTTCTTGTGTTCGGTTTGTGTTCGATCGCCTTCCTTTTCTTCCGATTCATCACCTTCATATCTGACTTTTCGTTGGTTCTTATCGTCATCCAAGTTGTTTTCTTCGTCTAATGGGTTATCATCTTCCGTTCCTGATTTATCCTTTAAGTGAAGAAGTAACTGTTACTAACGTTATATTCAAGAGTAGGTTTATAAGCCAAATGACTTGCTACCCGACATTTTGACATTGCCGAGGCATAAAACTGATAATAAATGTATTTTGGTAAAAATATTTCTTGAAAAGGCGATAATATATCGAATTGTTATAGAGTGTTTTCACACTCGTGGCCAAAATCCATGCAAATTTATCTGGACAAAAACTAACCGTTTACAAAAGAAAAGAGTTCAATTCCCACAGGACTGGTTTAGAACACTAATATGGCCGCCCTGATGTCATGTGAAAACGCTCTATGGGCTTCTGTTAACCTTCATTTCTGCTCTTTCATTTTGTTAGAATTCGTTCGCTGTCATTTTAATGGTTACAGAAACCATGAGATATCCATTCAACCACCGCCTTCAGGGTATTTCGGGGAAACCCAATGGATCGCACCGGTCCAACCCAAAAGTTTCCAAAAAACTGGTCCACTGCAAAACAGTTGGGTTTTTTCAGAAAATCAGTAAAGAAATCGGTTAATGGATCGCGGCCCATGAGATTAAGCGCGAAGCGCGCCGCCTTCAGGGTACGGGGAAAATACGGACTGTTTTGACCAGTCTGCCCAAATGTGCATAAGGCATGAACCCCGTAATGCAATGCAATAGCCAAGTCGTTTCTCCGTGGTAAGAGGCAATCCACCCGTGTCTACAGATATGGCTATGGAAAATTTACAAATACCCATTCACTGAAAGCAGTGACTCTTAAGGTCACTTCCGTGTTTCTATAAGTCACTCTAAAAGTTGATCAATTTAGGTTTCTGGGAAACTGCCCACCTACCCCTCCCTTAAGACAACACTTACTGCTCACTTAGGGCAAAATGTTGGCTTAGGGAGAGGGTAGGTAGGCAGTTTCCCAGAATCCTAAACACCGTAACTGTCGCTCACCCCACACCCCCAGTAATAGACCCGCCAATCCACCTGAAAACGAAAAACTACATTCGACCATTAGCCCCAGGGGCGGATCCACGAATTTTTGACTAGGGGCGGGGGTCCAAACTTTGGTGGCGAACAGATCATAAGAGGGTACCTAAAAACAATTACATTTTTGAATATCCCTGGAATTTAGTTTAGTGGCAAAATGCAACGCGGGTTTCATTAAAAAAATCAGCCAGTTAAAAGTTATATACGATAACGTCGATGCAAAGGCGAACAGATCATTTTTAACCAAAAACAATCACATTTTTGAATATCCCTGGAATTTAGTTTAGTGGTAAAATGCAACGCGTGTTTCATTCGTAGTCTAGCCTAAACTGCAGTTTACAGTAGTCTTCTCTCTCACCACGTCATCTTTCAAAGTATCATTGTTCTCTTCTGCCAATTCCTGATTGGCTAATAAACTTTCGTGCGACTCCTCATGTGAATTCATGCTTAAAACGGAGAAAAACAGCGGGCTAGTAGACCGGGTACAAGTCGACGGCCTTTCTGGCCATTCATACAGTGGATCAGTACCCCTGTGACAAAACGCTGTAGCCCGTTCAGGGGAGGAAGCGGAAGAAACTGGCGCGGTGGATTCCTGACAGCTCTCAGGAGTCAACGAGCCTCGTCCTGATGTTGAAGTGGTGTTGCCTGAATGGATTCGTTGGCGAAGTTCCTGGAGCTCGGCGCTTTGTTTCTTAACAAGATCTTCAAGTCTGCAACAGTTAATGAGAGATAAGGAGTTTCAAAATTCGGTTGCCACGGTACACTCGTTTTTCATGCCGGGCGTCGGCTCATGATACTTCATTTGTTTTATAATCTGATTGGTTTGTGTTTTACTGGAGTCTATTGTAACTGACTAAAATTTTTTCTAGTCCCTGTACGGTGTCTTCCCAGGTCTTCTCGGTCAATGCATTTCGGTGACGTGTCCGAGACGAACCCCGGCGCTCGAACCACGTGTCCCGAAACGCATCCCTAGGGACTAGGCAAGCAAAAACACAGTACTTTAGGGCCTGTTTACATGGAGGTGGGGGACCCCAGACAGGTGAGGTAACATGCGGCGGGTCACCCCACCTATCATGTAAACGTGATCAAATGAGGCAAACAAAAACACCTCACCTACCTGGGGTCCCCCACCTCCATGTAAACGGGCCCTTAGTCGTTGAGACACTCCATTACAAACAAATCAAATAGGTATTTAATTTTTGCGTGTTATAATCTCAAACCCGCCCATCATCGTGTTACCCAGTAAACGTTGGTTTATCAAGAGTGGTTTAAGATACCATCAAAACTCTAATAGTTCATAATCACAAATTCAAAAAAATAACGTTCCTTATGTATATGAAAATCTGTTAAACATGTTTCAGTTTTTTTTCCATTTTTTTACGAAAATAATCCTTCGCTTTTTTATTATTTTCGCGCAAAACCAGACCCTTTCTAAGCGGATTGAAAGCAGTTATTAACCCTTCAAACCCTAAAATCAAAATTCAAATTCTCATTTGTTATCCCTATACGTTTTCAATAGAAGTAGTGGGGAGAATTTGTTGAAGTATCAATTAGATTCATCTTGTGTGATCATGTCCTTAATTCCCATGAACACTCTGTTTTACAAAGCAGTGATATTACAAGGAGAAATTTGACGCTGATCACTCTTCTAAAGGGCTTAAAGGGTTAAACATTAAGAGAGAGCAATACGCCATTTCCGAGGAAACGCAATTAAATTCCGCTTTTTTGAATTTACAGGAACTTCCTCTTTCCGAACAATAACATAAAAATTTACAGATGGACGATAAATAAGTAATAAGCTCGCAACATCGTGTGCGGATGAAGAGTTTCACCCAGAATTTTGAAGGAAATAAAAAATAAGACAGTTTTGCAAATACTGTGCTATTAAAGAAGGAAAGAAAGATGAAATTTAAACGAAAAATTCGCTTCGAAGGAAATTTGAAAAATGGAAAATTCATAAACTAGAAATTAAATTTTTAATCATCATGAACTGCATGTTTTAAAGTAATATTGGTCCTCATGAAATAAAACGAGAAAACCCAGAAAAAACATTGTACCTTGGTTTGGTGAACTCGGCTCAGAATTATTCGTTTCGATACCATTTTTATCACATAATTTTCAGTATAAGCGGAAGCAGTTTATTGCCTCAAATTTGATGAAAACGTATTATTTACGGGAACACAATTACAAATTTTCCCCAGGGTGATTTGATAATCGCACGAATTGTACTAGTATAAAATAACTGAAGAAAAACACGAACTGATATGAAATAAAATAGAATTGAGGGTAGCGAAATTTATATGTTTTTGAGTCGAAAATAAGAGCTGAAGATCAAGGCTTTTTGTAAAAGCAAAAGATCACCTGAATACACCTGAATGAAACCCTGCTGAAAATAACAAATGAGAAGCAAGAAAAAAATAGCCAAATATAAATTCTTACCAAAAGCTGAACTAGCCGCTTTTGGCAAGCCTAAAGAGATTGAGGTAGCGGTCTTGATTTAGCGATGAATTCTTGGTTGCTAGCGACCAAGATCCCAGGAAACATTTTTCGTCTTCAAGAAGTGCGCAAGAGCTTTATAAACAAAGCCTGCCTTTTCTATGGCAACCGCTTAGCGCCAGTGGTCGAATTCCCAGCACAATCTCTTCCACTTAGAGTTCATTTGAATGAAAACGGCTTCATGTTTACATCGATCACAGCTGTCTATCAAATAAGTGATAGCTCCACTAGCGCATGCGCATTCGCAAAGCACCTGTTGGCTAGAACAACAACATTTCCAAAGATTTTCGACTGTGCATTTTCGAATAACCTATAATCACGTAGCGTGTTAATCGGCTACCGCAAGAGAAGAACACGACTTTGAATTTTTTAGCTCGTCTATAAAACTGATCAATTTATAAAGAATACGACAACTTAAGTGATAATTATTGTATACGAAATATAAAATAAAACTGCACAAAATCGATTACAGCTAGGGTGAAACTAGAATTCAGTGGAAACTTGAATAAGTAGAAATTTCGCTACGCGACAACTGCGGAAAATAAAAAATTTTTATCATGCAATCTTAAGGAACTGTTTAAAAAACTAGTTTGTCGTTTTGATGGACATGTTAGAAAGCCCCCACCCCCATCTAAATTGCATCGCAATTAGTAACAGTTTAAATATTGGTTATTGAAGGCGTATTAGCCAATAAAATAAAAATTAGCCAATCAAAGGACAGCAACAGCAAACACGAGCATAAGTTAACCAATGAGAACCACTTTCATCTGAATTTCCCGCCAAAAAAGAAACTTGCTTTTAAAGCGAGCGTTTTATTGTTTTGTATTTCCAACAATGTTTTAACATTATTAAAGAAATTCTCCTTATCAGTGCCATCTAAATACATGAAATATATGAAAAATAGTGTGAGAAATCTGCATAATGATTATCACGCACCCCTGCATTGGCGTTGCGCCATGACTGGTGTTGGGTAACTGGGGTGTTGCGTGACGACAAAATATCACTGGCGTATAAAGCAAAGAAATCCGAAAAAAGTATTTTTTAAGAACAATTCTTCTTAGGATAAAACTGAAACAACAGCTATTGCTTTGATGCCTTGTCTTGATTATCAAACTAATATATAATCCCCTGCGGTACTCCTTTATATAAACCATATATGTATATGCCGCCCAAAAAGGTACGGTTTTTGTGGCGTCTTGGTCTGAAAACCAACGAGTATAAATAGACTTTGGCTATTTTGGTCTGAAATCGGGTATGAATTCCGAGGGAACTACGGGAGTGTATAAACGTATTTATCATTTCAGTTCCAAATGACAAAGTAAAGAAAGAAAAATAAGCAAATTCGAGAGGGATTTTAAGAAATCTTTTTTGTTGCTGTTCTAATCTAAGCAATGTTGACATCATTTCTTAGAGGCCAGGTCTGAAAATGGGTGTGAATAATGACATTTTCTGGTCTGAAATGGGGTCAAAATTTGGAGAAACGAGCGGCACATCCCCACCAAGAATTCCCAGGAATACTCCCCCGGTAGATAATGTGGAAAATTTTGAAAACGTATTTCGGTTGTGATCGGCCAGACTTCCGCTTAGTCAATTTCATCAGCAAAAACAAATAACAAGAGATGCGGCTGTAATAACGACGATAAGAGAAAGCAAGACAAAAATAGCTCTCTGAACTTCCCAATTTACTCGCCGAAAAATCGTTGTTTCTTTCAATTGTGTGACAATTTCTCCTTTGATATTTTCATGTGGAAAGGCAGATGTTGGAACCTCACAGCCCAAGAAATCACACAGCGGTTTCCATCCTTGTTTTACATTGAACACCAGTAGTTTCTCGGGTGGTACAATGGACTTGACACGGTGATTGTGCATACGATATCGCTTTCTGAAAACACAGGTGGACTTTGGGTTCGTAGAACCAAGCGATGCTTCCACACAAGAATTCCCAATCACGTTGAACTTTCTACCCGTTTGCGATAACTTGTCTCTTAGAATGATTTGAAACCTGTCCGACTGAAGCATTTTAAGGTGGTTTTCCCAACTTTGCAGCCAAGAATCTTCGTCTCGTTCGCTCAAAATCACCTTACAATCAGGAAAAGCTTCCAATATTTCCTCCCAGAAAAAATTTCCCGGCAGATCAACGACCGCATCAGCATTCTGGTAGACCCTCTTCACATTTGGCTGGGCGCCATTTTGAAACACATCGCACCAGTGATCTAGAAAATCGAAGATTTGCTCTTCCCAGTCATAGACGGTGAATCCGAGTTGTCTCAAAGCTTTGGAGATTGACTTTAAACCAGTTTTGTACAATCCTGCACAAATTATCTTCATGTTTCTGTTTCCGTGCTTGGTCGGTTTAAGATAGCGTGAGTCGATCGTCCGTATTAGAGACCTATGAATCCGATATGCCGTAATTCTTGCATGGTGTTGGTTTTGGCCAATTGTTTATTTTCTCTGCGAGACATCAACGTGACACTTGGACTCTTGCCCCCCAGTATGGAGTTTCATCCCCGCCAAAAATCAAAGTAGATCACAACGTTCAACTTGAGTGTAACATTTGACTTGAAAAATATCAACATTCAACTTTGCAGTTCAATTTTGTAGTTCTTAACGCAATCGTCAAAATTTTAGACTTCAACTTTATAAGTGAGAGTTCAACATTAAACTATGCCCATCAACATTCAAGTTCACTGATCAACATTGCTCTCGATACATGCGCTTTGCGCGAAAGGTGAACTTTGAATCACCAAGTTGGTTGTTGAGTTACCAAAGGCGTACCAATCCCGCCATAAATCGAAGTTGAGACTTCAACTTTCGAGTCAAGAGTTCAACATCAAATGTTACGTATCAACATGCAACTTCGGCAATTAACATTGGTGTTGACCATAAAGACAATTAAATTGGTCCCTTTTTACTTTTTTCAAAGAAAAATTTGCATCATGGAAAAAGATTTTTTGGAAAAAATTGTTGGTAGCACGCGTTTATCGTGATGATGATCAGGATGTGTTATGTAGGCTACCGAATAACTTAAAATCACGTAGCGTGCTAATAGGCCACTATTTTGGTTGAAATTTTGGTTTTTCGAATTCGAATATGTGACGTGACTTTAAGTTCAAATTAAAGGTTTCATTTGGAATTTTGTGGAAGATTATGGTTGCATTGTTGACGATTAAGTGGCTTATTAGAGTGGAGAAAGTGAATTGAAGTTCAAATCATGTAATTTGCATTTTAGTTGGAATGGTGATTTGAACTTCAACATCCGAGTTGTCTCAAAGCTTTGCAGATTGACTTTAAACCAGTTTTGTACAATCCTGCACAAATTATCTTCATGTTTCTGTTTCCGTGCTTGGTCGGTTTAAGATAGCGTGAGTCGATCGTCCGTATTAGAGACCTATTTTGGTTGAAATTTTGGTTTTTCGAATTCGAATATGTGACGTGACTTTAAGTTCAAATTAAAGGTTTCATTTGGAATTTTGTGGAAGATTATGGTTGCATTGTTGACGATTAAGTGGCTTATTAGAGTGGAGAAAGTGAATTGAAGTTCAAATCATGTAATTTGCATTTTAGTTGGAATGGTGATTTGAACTTCAACATCCGCGATGTCGAGTTTTCCGTTTATAGTTTCAACTAGTTCAAAGTAACTTCAAGTTCGAATGATGCTATTTCGACTGCGTTCATTGCGATTTCAAATTCATATGACGAGATTTCGACATGGTTAGTCTAATTTTTGAACATCAAATTGTCTTTTATTTTCAATTATTTTTGTCCGCAAATGTACGCCATAATCGGCTAACGCAAGAAAAGAACACAGCTTTGAATTTTTTTGGCTCGTCTATAAAACTGGTCAATTTCAATACAACAACCTAAGTGATAATTATTGTATACGAAGTATAAAATAAAACTGCACAAAATCGATTACAACTAGGGTGAGACTAGAATTCAGTGGAAACTTGAATACAAAAAATTTCGCCACGCGACATCTGCAGAAAATCATAAATTTTGTGCCTTTATCATCCTATCTTAAGGAACTGTTTAAAAAACCAGTTTGTCGTTTTGATGAACATATTAGAAAGTCCCACCCCGATCTAATTTGCATCGCAATAAGTAACAGTTTTTAAATATTGGTTATTGAAGGCGTATTTAATTTACTAAGTAACTACTTAACAAAATAAGCCAATAAGGGGACAGCAACAGCAAACACACGAACATAAGTCAACCAATGAGAACCACTTTCTCGTTCTGAAATTCCCGCCACAAAAAGACACTTACTTGCTTTTAAGCGCGCGTTATATTATTTTGTATTTCCAGCAGTTTTTCAACTTTTAGCAACTTGAGAAATGCGGAGCACATATCAAAAGAGGACAGGATACAAAAATCAACGTGCAATAAATCGCGTCGAAAATTTTAAATCGCTCCTTTATTGACCGTGACAAAAGCGTGTAGAGTTTCTATCACTTGTTTCAAAACCAACTGTTCATTCTAAGACGTAAGAACCCAATAACAAATGCACTCGAAATCCAGCGACACTTACGTCGTCTTTTTTTTAGTTGGTACATTTGTTGAAAGTGTCTTCCCACTTCAATGCAAATAAATACTTGACAAACTGTTGACTGACTAATGTATTCAAGGAGATGTATGTCTGTCACAGTAGCTATATTCAAACGAATGATTCGGCAAACAACTCTAAATGGATAATATTCGATTAGTCTGTCCTGCTTTCTTCTAGCGTTACAACTCAACAGATGCACGTTCAAGAGTGCGTACAATAAAAATTGATAAAAACACCTCAGTAAATCCTGTCTTCTCATATTGTAAACTAAGAAAAAAAGTATTGCTGTATAAAAGTTCTGCTAAAGAGGTTTCATTTGATCACACAATAGGATTTCGTCCATAAAATCACAAAGTAGAGTTACATTACAAGTCTTTATAATCGATTCTGGTGGTACCTTAAAAAAAAACGGCATTAAGCTAAAATAAAAATCAAATTTCTACCCCAGAAGAGTTGACAAAACAAAATTTTCCCGTCAAATATAACGGACTTACCTCCTTTTTGCGTCGAGAATTCCCGCGATGTCTGTGCATAACTCGATGATCTTTTTCTGGCGTTCCTCCTTGTCTTTCGCGGTGTTAAATCGTCTCACAATACGCACGGCTTCTTCAGCTTCTTGCAGCCGTACTTCATCGTCTTCATCTTGGCTGAGTAGTGAATTCATCTCGCTGCCGTTTTAAACCTGTGTTGTAAAGAAGTTTTTTTATTGCACGGTAAATATTGCGAGATTGAATCTTCTCTGGCACTGAGGCTGCGATATAATGACAAACGCGGAAATCGGTAACTGGGAAAGAGTAGCATTTAAACTCGATGCGAGGGATGACAATGCGAGTTGAAATTTGGGTAACTTAACCCAAACGCAGCAAGCGAGAGTACAAGAATAAGACTTCAGAAAAAAAAAGAATTTCGAACTGTTGTCCACGAAATTTAAAAGCTTTCACTTACGGTGTTATAATTTTATATTTAAATTAAACAAGAAGGTTATCTATGCAACGATACAATAACAAATAAGGTTTATCAATGCAAAAAGACACCATCGACTGGATTAAGTAGATCAAAGATTTCTTAAAAGGTAAAGGCAGCTTAGCAACGTCAAAAATACATATTAACTATAGTGCAGCATAAAAACATTTACCTTAAGTTTGTTCTTGGTGTATATATTTGTATGCTCCTCGTTCGCCAACGGAAAAAGAAGACAGCTGTTTACGAAAAATTATTGTTGTATAAAAGCACTTGCTCAAAATTAGACTCGGTAGGCGGGTTACAGATTTAATATTCAAAAAACAAACATTACTTCGAAATCTTCATAAAATTCGTGAAGATCGGAGAAATTCAGTCAGGTAAGGTAAAATAAAAATCAAAAACAAAAGAATAACACGCTTGCGCGTTGCTAAATTTTGTCACAAAAGACCAAAGGAGATTTCATTATTTATTGACTGGCCATGGCATGGAAAATTAAATTATCAAAATGTATAAAATATACCTTTTAAGTCAGAACATTGCTTATTGGTTTATCCCAACCCACAAAGAAGATAACAAATGCTCTAATGTGATATACTAAAACAATGTTTATCAAACGTGACAGTTGATATAGAGACTAAGTAGAAACTATTAACTTGCTATGTTTCATTCTCATTTAATTTGACGCTAAAAAGCTAAAAGGGTTTTGTTTCCAAGGTAACAATTGCGACTGGCGGAACATTCAGATTAAGGAACACTTATGCAACAGAGACGGAAATCTTGCCGTTCCTCATTTGATATAATTGGAAATGCAGTAATAATACTTCTAAGAACACTCTGAAAATAACTAAAAAATTTAAGCCAAAACTATGAAGAAATGTTTACCATCTTAAGCCCTTTAAACCCTACACAATTAAGAGAAAACGTATCCGCTGAATAAACTGATGACCAAAGAGCAAATGCTTTGATCCTGGAACAAATTCTCTCAACTAATTCTTAAGGAAATGTATGAAGATCAGTCTGGAGAATTTGTAAGTGGATGTTGGGGCTGAAAGGATTAAACCGTATCCCCACCCCCCAGATCAATATGCAGATTCTCATCACCGTTTTCACTATATTTCTTATGGTACTTACCAGGAGAACTTGTTTAACAATCAAGACATGTAACAGCCTTCACCATGAGGGACTAAGAGTATTTGCTTCTGGGATAACTGTAAAATTTGACGCGAACAATAGAATGATTAAAATCAGGTTAAGGGGAAACGACCAACTTCAATCTGTAGAACGTGACCAAGTTTTCCCTTATGATCATTTACTATTCATCATATCGGATTCACACCGTGAAAATAGGAAGTTTCATGTCACGTAGTCCATTACAAGAACTGAATTCAGTATTCTGCAAAGTAATTTCCCCCTTATATTTTAATTACTAAATTATCAATATGAATCTGATGAGATTCCCATTTGCCGTACACGTGATTCGAAATAGATCTTAATGATCACGTTCAGTCATGTCAAACCAAAGAGATCTTCACACGATTGCTAACATATTCGAGAATGATGATAAAGCAAACTTCCTTGTCACGTCTTTCGTGAACGTGAAAGCACACATCATCACGTTGACTCCCATCTAAGACTTGGTACTAGCACGCAAACTCACCATACTTTTTTCATACAATTCATATGGCACTGATGAGGACATATCATCGTTTGATCACCAAGAGCGTATATTATTTTCGATTATCGCTGTTTTTACTGTCATGAACTTGATGTGAATAAGCAGAGATATTATCGGGAGAATTTAGATTCTGATCAGTGTTGAATAAAACTATTGCCTCTCCATATTCCATTTTTATAACACTCTACAATGTCAAATGCAACAAAACTAGTTAAAAACAGAAAAACGAGGGAGGCAGAATGTCGTAATTTGGTGACAAAGTGCAAGAATATTATAATGGAAGATGATTATCGTTTAGTTTAATCCCCATATCCACATACAAATTCTTCAGAATCATCTCCATACATTTCCTTGAAAAATAAGTCGAGAGAATCAGTTAAAAGATCAAGAGATTTTTTCCCTTCAAGATCATTTTCTAATTCTCGTAACCTTTCTACTTGATTACGTATCCATATTGTTTGGAGAAATTTAATGTTGATCACTCACTTGCGACTTTAAGGGATCACGAATTTAGCTCCCGCGAAAACTTACTTCACCTTGATTTCGCTATTAAAAACAAACAAACAATTCCTGCCTGTTTTCCACTAAAACAGAAAAGAGAAAAAAGCGGAACGTATAATTTGGCGACAAAATGCATGACTATCGAGATGAAAGCAAGTGGATTATCGTTAACGAAAATGTAATTTGCTTTGATTTCGTATAATTAGTGAAAATAATTAATGAAAAAAATTTCGTATAATTAGTGAAAACCTTTGCGTGTTTGTTCGAGCCGTGCAAATAAATGTGGTCAACGGGTACAAAAAGAAACTATTGGTGGATAACCTGAATGAGGAGCTTTTTTACTACAGTAGCCTCGATAACTCGAACTCGGATAACTCCAATTCCCCGCTAACTCGAACTAAATTTTCTTTCCCTTGATCAAAATTTCACTGAAATTTACCCTGATACCTCGAATTCCCAGCTAACTCGAACTGTTTTTCGTTTCCTTCAGAGTTCGAGTTACTCGGGGTTTTAAAATACGTTATTCGCAATGATTAAATTAAACACTCCACAGAAATACTCATTAGAGTTGGGACTTAACTGGAAGGAATTCAGTACTGGAAACTACGTTGAGATAAAAAAGTGATATTCGATGAGCGGCTTCGAGATGTTGTATTCAGTTTCAGCTGAGTAGGGACGGTTGTGTTATAAGGAGATAGGATTTCGGTGCTGAGTGAACACGTCAACTACCGTCACCACAATAGAACCCCTGGTAACTCGAACTCTGAATGGAAACGAAAGACAGTTCGAGTTAGCGGGGAATTCGAGTTCTCCGAGTTCGAGTTATCGAGGTTCTAGAGAAATAATTTCAGTGAATCTAATTACGATACCGACGAAATATAAATCACAAAAAGATTATAGCTTTTACAGATAAAACATTTCGGTCTTACCTCGTTTTAATAGTGTGTTTTACGGTGGATTAAAAGACTTTGAAACGCGAACACGTCGGAAATTAAATACGACGCAGGAAAACCAGCTGCCAAAGCGTTTTATAGCTGCCTTGTAATTTCATTTAATTTAATATTTTTATCCAATTATTTGTATACATCGGCGACCACAAACAAGAGAATTAATCCCTTCTGTTTTGTACAGAAAGATGTTTAAGGTTTATCCTGTAAATAGACTTCATTACTAATGAAATATTGTAAACGAAAATACTCTGTTAAAAAACATTTATCGTTAAATTAAATCTGATTCGAAATTCGCAATAGGAACTGTTTTGTTTGCTTCCCTGTTTAGTTCGGTCTTCCGCCCGTCCGTTTTGTCGATATGATTTGATAAATAAAACTATTTCATTTAGAGCTAAGTCAATTTAGTAAACCAGATAACAAAAAACCCTGTAAGCGACTTAAACATATTTTCGTAATCTGCCTGCTGAGGTAATTTGTTTATGCTAAGGGAAGGAAATTAAAAATGATTAGAATTAAAGAATGGAAGTCACTAAGAACAAATAACCCATAAACACTAACCGAGAAAGTCCCGCTTTGAAAATCCTGTTAATATCTCTTATTAATGTTTCTGTGAGACAAATTTGTTAATGAAAATGTTTACAAATTACAATATTCATTCTAGGCTCGATTACCAACAGCTGCTCCGTGAGAGCCTATATTCATTCTCCATTTCGTTTTTTAAAATGCCAGTTTAATGCAAACTGCGCAAGAGCTACTCAACAACTTCACACCCCTCGGACAAATTAAGAAAAGAACTCGAACTAAACTAATGCAAAAAACGGCACAACATTTATATTGAATTATATGAAAAGTGTACTTAGTTCCTCTAAAGTAAAATACAACCAGATTGACAACGTCGCACATGTAAATAGTAATTATTGGCTGTATTACAACAGCTTATATTTCAGTTCCTGTTGAAATTTTATCAACAATGAACAGTGTATAGCAAAATAATTTCGCATTCAACCATGCCACGCCATGTTAAAAACAATAGCAAATCCTAATTATTTTAGCGGATCAGAAATTCAGATCAGAAATAGACTGCTCATTAGATTCTCATTTTAAACAAACCAGTTGTTGTTTAGGTTCATTTATAGACATCTGACTTCTTTCCTATGGTTAAAAGCAAGTGGGCCAGTAATATATTTTTTGACGAAAAAAATATGCTTAATCACTAACACTTTGCAGACTCACAGCGATTTTATACGTGAAATTGAAGAAAAATTTAAAATAACTTGAAAATGCAAAAACGACAAATACAAAGTGAAAAACAGAAGCACAAAAATTTCATACTTCAGCGTGCGTGTGTTGAGTTATTGAGCACGCGGGAAGTTTGGAGAGCACGAAAGAGGCGTAAGAAAGGATTTCTGCTGTCGCGCATTTTTCCGTGCGTACACACGTATAATAGACGCAATGTATGGAAGGCCACGCGCAAACTTGAAAGTTAAGCGACGTTCAACTTTAAAGTGTACGCGTGACCTTCCATACATTTTATTTACGCGCGTAAAATTTATGTGCGTACGCAAGGGAAAAAGTACGCGACAATGGAAAACCACCTTGAGAGTTGCTCGAGGCGCAGCAGAGAGCATCTCTAGCCTCTTGAGAGCTCTCCAAACTTCCCAAAGTGCTCAATATCTCGACATACGCCCAGTTGAAGCATGAACTAATTGTTTTATGACATTATCAAAGCGATCAATGCAGCAGTTAACTCATTAAAATTTTATTCTTGTAGCGCGCGCTCAAAGCAGCACGCGTCAATGCAGTGTGCAAAGAATGTAGTGTCCGATAGTCCAGGGCTAGTTGTTTTGGCTATCGGGCTAGTGAATTCTGTTATTAACTTGCCCGACGGGCAAGTGAAGTTTTTTGAGGAATCCAAATTACAGAGGAACTGTGAAATCAATCTGCTCATCAAAACGTTTTTAGGGCTAATTGAAATGACGTTTGGGCTCGTAAATGTTAGCTTCAGCTTGCCCGAATGGCAGGGTGTAAAAGTGATTTTCTTTGCACCCTGCAATGTCTACGTGACTATATATATTTAACAATTATTCCTCGAGCCCGAATGGGCTATGAGTCATTAGTAAAATCCAACTACTGGTCTATTATCAATGCTGCGTTCTGATTGGTTGAGCTACTACTAGGCTATATGTTATAGCCCACTAGTAGCGAAAAGTGCCAGCTTTTTGGCGGCAAAAAAGTCCAGCTTTAACTAGCTATTGTTTTTTTTTTTATTCTCGATATTTTTGACCTCTTGCCCTCATGGCCTCAGAGTCAATAGCCCATTCGGCCCCCGGCCTCGTGGGCTAATTCACAGCCCATTTGGGGTCGAGGAATAATTGTCAATTATATATATTTAGTAGAATCCAACAATCCGACAACAGCAACGCTTTTGAATGGTACTAGTTGCTTTTTTTTAGAATATTACGAAAAGAAATTTTTGACTTTTTTTCTTGAATTTAAGAGTAAAAGGTCTAAAAAATACCCCAGCTTAGGTTAATAGGAACGTTTAATGTTAAAAATTAAATGATACATGTCAACCACGGCAACCAGCTGATGCTCCATTTTCTTTTTGTATATCAGTGAATATTGGCGACTTCAGTCTATTAATTAAAAATATTTCCCAAGACCGGACTGGAGCGTTTATCTTATCAAACCAACAGAGAGCTTCAGAACTTATGCAATTAATCGTGAATAGAGATGTTTATATTTCAGCAAGGACGATTGCCATTAAAGAAGCCGTCAACAGCCGGTAAACTCTCCTCAGCATCAGATTCGAGGACAGAATTGTTGCTTTGTAATTGCCGCTCCTGCGCCGAGCTTAACCTCAAATATCTGCAGTTTTTAATAGTCTCAGTGTTTACAGGTTCTTTTTTTGCTAAGTCCATCTGTGCTTGACTTGTGTGTATTTCTCTCAAGCCCTTCTCGACGTTTTTGTATAGAGGAGGAAAATAATATGGCGAACGAGGTAACTCAGTTTTCTCCTCCGTATAAACGGTCGACTGTTTTTGCCGCTTTTCAGCAGGGTGCCCTTTTTCGTCCACGACAGGTTTTTCAACGTGTGTTTCTGTTTTTGTAGAAGTTCTTCTCGAAGAGAGTTTCATTCGTTCCTTTAAAATTAGATTGCTACGCATGAAATCCTTTCTCTCCAACATTAATCGCTGGCTTACATCCTTACGTTCGCGTTGAATTTGCCTTTCCAAATTCTCATACTTTCTCTGTTCCGCGGAAAAAGAATTGTTGAATTTTTTCTTGGTTGAGTTCTCGAGAGCGGGCAACATAACGTCGATGTCCGCTCTGGAGAAATTCATTTCTTCGCCTTGAAAATACCGACCATCCATTTCTTCCAATTAGGTCTTTTAACACCGACGAACGACAGCAGAATTTTAAAACAGCAAATTAGTTTATCTTGAGAACTAACGTAAACGAAGATATTCCATCGCAGACGGACAATGTACACAAATTCAATCTTCTCTTAATGTTTATCGCTTCATATTTACAAGCGTTCACCTCAGAATACTGTTAAAGATAAATAACCTCGGTGTGTATATTTAACTGAACTCTTCTCGCGTATATTTTGCATGTAAATAGAAGAAATTCTATGTGCCCTGGCGCGAAAGGCCACAGGGCTACTTAGCAAAAGTAGTTATTAAATCTTGCTTGACAGCGTTTAGGCATTAATTCACAAACAGTATATGTTATCTTTATAACTCCTTTAGTTATCGAGAAATTATTTGTTTGTCAACACAGCTAATCCACGTACAAACACACCATACCACGCTCGAAGGGACAAATTTATTGATGTTAATATTATTTGTTTTCGCTGGCAAAAACAGCTGTTACTTTTCTTTGTTTTTTCGTCTTTATTATGACAATTATCTTATGTCACTAAGTGAGTCTCGCTATTACATCTTTTTTAAAGTGCAAAACATAATTTACATTTTGTTGGCGTCGTGGTTTTGTTCACGAAAAAAATTAAAACAAACTCCTGACGCGGCTGGAATACAAGAATTTTCGTGTTTTCACACCTGAAAATATTTTTCTCATATGCAGTGCGTCTTTTTCTTAATTAAAAAAATAAACAAAACGAAAACTGTGAGATCCTTTCCCTTTCCTTACTGAGCTGCTTGTTGTGTTTTCGTTTATTTTACAAAACAAAAGCAAACAAATATTATTTGTTTGCGTTTGTTTTGTTTTGTAACATCGAAATTTTTGAACTTTTCTTTCTATAAACAACCGACCTTGGTAAAACATCCCTGATTCCTAAACGCTTCTCAACAAACCTTCTTTATTTAAGTAAGTGCTGGGTAAGTAACTGAAAGACTTTTTGGAGCAATTTTTTCTAACAAAAAAATCTTTTCTTGTTTCCTTTTTTTACAGGATATATTTTAAAGACAATGGGTTGTGCGAGGTATTTTTGCTCCTAAAAAAGCTAATTCGGAATCTGAAAATTAAGTTCCTTCATCCCTGAACTTAATAGATAAACGCAGCAAGAAATCACCATGATATAAAAAAGCACAGTTGGATGCCTTAGGGCCTGGGTCTGGGCCAGAGTGGAGTCTGGGCCGAGGGCAATGTCTTTCCCCTGGCTTTTATGAGCATGATCCGTGGCTACTTTCATGGAAACAAAAAGAAAATAGAAACAAAGTAACTTCCCATCTGTTTAACTCCTCACCATCTAACTGCACATACCCAGCCACTTGAAATCTTAGTGTCAGCCCTGGTTGTACCCCATGTCTTTAAAAAAAAATTGTCAGAAATGGTCTGAAAGCCTAACTCGCTGTGAAGTCGCGCTTAGTACAAATTTGTACGGAGGCACCACAGTCGCCGGAATGCTGGACTTGTAATACGGAGGCCCCAAGTTCAAGTTGCGCCCTGACCACTAGCTGGATTTGTTCTCGGTAGTCCTGAGTGTTTTCCCAAGTTCAAATCCCCAGCTGCACTTGTAAAATAGCCAACTGGTTTGCCGCTAGCCTGCGAAAAGAGACGATTCTCCTCACTCATCGCTGCGAGGGGAAACGTCGGTTTTCACAGCCTAGTTTGCCACCTACCAGTAGGGATTTTTAACCATGTTATGTTCCATTTAAATTATTTGTTTCATTATCCCTGAAAAGCCCCATGAGGGGAGAGGATTATTAAATAATAATTATTATTATTAATCCCATTATCGACTATCCATTATCAACAGTTGATGTGAAACACGATATTGGTTGTTGTCCCCCCAAAAATGCAAATGCAAATGAATGACGAGCAAATCTCACTAAATTTGATAAAGTGACAAAAAAAGAGCAAATTCAAAGGTATTCTCACATTAAGACACCCTGAGCTTTCTTCCAAGATCTGATTGCCTTGAGGGACCTCTCACTTCATGGCTTTGCACTCATGAGGCATCAAAAAGGATCAGACTGAAATAAACAATTATTAAAAATTCTAGTTATCCAAAGCCATCAATCTAAGTTGTTCTCAAGTAACAGACTTGTTTACTCCTATCAGTACTATTTTGCAGATTTAACTTCATAACAGTACAATGTTTTACTAGCCTAAGATAGCCACCAGCTGTAATGGGTGCAGCCGTGCATCAAAGCAAGTTATCAGCATGCACACATTTTTTGTAGCTGCCATCTTGCTTTTTGAAGCAGGGGGGGTATATGTCTCCCTCCCTGGCCTCTTTGTTTTGTACATCACCAAGAAAACATACAAACCTCTGTCATGGTAGAGGGTTTTATGTTCTCTTGACATCACATAACAATGATAACTAGTGCTTTCTCCTTTACCCCCATCCCCTCCAAAGAAAATTGTAATACTGCAACATACACAGTAACAACAAAACAACAACAAAAATGTATTTATTAGGGAGGGGAGAGCAACAAGCCTGTTTCTATGACCTGTAAACAGGCTCCCTGGCTAGGGTAGCGTGAGAAGAGCAACAAGCCTGTTTCTACAGCCTGTAAACAGGCATCCTGGCTAGGGTAGTGTGGAACTCCCAGTATCAAGACTCTTCCTTTCCTTTTTCTTCCCAGCTTCACAGAAGCCTCTTTAGTTTTTAAGGAGGGAGGGTTACCCTGCTGCTAAGGTAACCATAACTACCTTGTAAATATAACTCGCCTACCTGAGACAAGTTTTCTAACCTGCATTTTAGGGCTTTATGATTGTGTTCAGTTACCAAGCATGTTGACCGTTGACCTGGAAATACCAGGTTAACCTATCTACCAAAAAGATCAGCTTGTGGTTTAATTAGCTTTCACATGCCTTTCTGTGCTCACTGAGCTAACTGAACCAACACTTTTCTTTTTTTCCCTAAAAATATTTTCTTGCATATCTGGGTTGTCTTTGAGTCTTTTCCTAGGGTAAACACGTGGTGGTGGTGGGGTGGGAGAATACTCTAGCTCCCTGCTTTTTTTAACGCCAGGTCCTCTTTAACAGAACTCTGCGAGTGCAGCTTTCTATTTGTACCAATGCAATCAATGCTACTTACCTTAAGTATTAAGTAAGCACCGATGCACAGATAACATGGACGCAATGCTTGGAATCCTTAATCGTTGTACGATCCCCCACATGCATGTTCGAATCCAATGCATTAGATTAAATAATTGACCGTTTGCGATTCATCTCTTTTGACACTAAATGGGTCAAAAAATAGCTTGAGCCCTCATCAACTTGTTTTCTGTGGGTTGAAGTACTCAATCTGGGGATTAATGAACGTTTCCGCGATATCAAGAGTTGCCGCCAATATTTCAAATTTGTGCTTGACGCCATTTTGGGTACTGTTTCGGCGTTGACTTCATGTAATCACTTCTGAAGTGTGATAGCTCTTTTCTTGAGTTGTCGTAGGGAGGCTGGGGAGAGGGAAAATTAAAAGCGCGCGGGGCGACGCGCGGGGCACGTCTCGCGCTTACCATTTTTCTTTTCATAAAAGAACACTCTTCATTACAAGAAGCTTGCCGAAACTAAGTTTCATAAAAGAACACTCTTCATTACAAGAAGCTTGCCGAAACTAAGTTTCTCAGATAATCGCACTTTTCTCTACGTTTAAATATTTTTGTTTCGCCGTTTGAGCAAAAAATGCTTCCTGCTGAAATAATTCGCTCGCATCACTCATGTTCTCAGTCCTTAGGCGCACAATGCACGCGCGCCGGTATCGGCTAGAAATTGGTTTGCAGCAATACCTTATATAGTGTGACAAAGCAAAGAAAGCAAATTGCCTTCATGCCGATAAATAAATAAGTTACGATAATACAATACGTTTCATTTAAGGTTTAGATCAATCGGAAGACTCCTGCTACAGCAACAGAATATCAGTGCAGAGAGGAACGCGTTCGGTTAGATTTTTCTGGCTGTTCTGAAATTCTACAGCGCGTATTGTTAGATTACGTCTTTCAAACGTCACAAAGGAAGCTTTAAAGTAAAAAGTACTGTTTTCTTGTGAAGATGTGCTGCCGACCGTTCATGTGGAAAATTTAATTTATTGCAAAATGGGAAATTGTTTCTCTACATGTGCAAAGACGCGAGGAAATACCATGCAGTTCAATGCCGCAGCCATCCAGCTTTACGACTGCAAAGTGATATTAAAGAGGAACATGAAAAAAGAACAAGGTCACCAAATTCTACTACACACACGCGTCCTGAAGCAAACTTGACCAGAGAGACTAAAACTGGAGAAGAAATCGAGATGGATAAAGCTTTCAGTAGGCTCTCTGTTTATGATAGTACATTGACAGCAACCAGGCTGAGCAGTGTGAGTAGAGACAGAAGTCTCACGCAAGTCAAAATGGTTCTGTCAATGGACAGTGCGGTAAGGACACGACAAAACTGATAAGGTACCCGAATCGTGCCAGTAGTGTTCCATCTGTAGAGCGACTTGGTTCACGCAAAACAAAGCGACCAGTTATCCTTGTACAGAGTGCTTCTGACACGCGCATGCAGGGAGTGGCAGCTCATAAAACCGAAGACAGTATTTCTGCCGTTAAAAAAGTAGCTAGCCAACCCACTAAGGGAGGACTCTGTGATGAAGCTCGTAGAAAATCTAAAGCAGGAGAGTTAGTAAGAGCGACTGGCGATTCACAGAGCATGGCACCGTACAGTAAAGCAGCTGAAACTGAAAGATATGAACACATGCGCGGGGAAATGGAGCCCAGTAACTGTTTACACGCCCGAAGAGATTAAAGTAATGTTACAAATAGAGAAATGACATGGCTTATAATCATTATTAGCCATGTTCTTTCTCTATTTGTGATGATGAATGACGTGAAACTACTTTATTAAACGTCTGAAGGAAAAAGAATTAGACAAATGATATGGAGGAGGAGACTAAACGGGTGCCCGTATTCTTGTTTTACTTTGTGAACTAGTACAGCAATGTGGCTACATTTTCTACCCTGAGGTCCCGATGTCAAAACAAATAATATCAGGAATTCTCACCATTCTCGTTATTCTTGCTACGAACGAGTATGGTGCAAATTCTTGTCATTATGTGTTTCACTGACCTCAACACCCTTAAAGATTTTCTAGCAGTGAAATAGAAATTTTGGGGTCCACAAAAAGTGGAAAGAAATTTTATTTTAAAATTTCTCTCCACTTGTTGATGACCCCCAAAAAATGGTGGCCAAAGAAATTAGATCCAGAAAAAAAAATCAAATTTCATTTTGTTAAACAAACACAAGGAACCTCTGGGCATAAATGGGACACGCCAGAAGATCACCATTAGAACTGAAAGGGAAGGAATAGAATAGAGTTTCAGCGCACCCCGCATTAGTTCTTTTTAGTCAGGGAATGTCCTTCCCTTCGCAAGACCTGTTTTCTATAATATGATAACTTATAATCTATAGTCTATAACAGCCGCTGAGCTAAAAACTTTTTTTTTTTCAGCGAGAACATTAGAATATGTGAAATGTAAATGAGCTAGAGTGATTATGTATAATTTTTAAGTTGCTTAAACAAAACTCAGCCAAGTTACTAACATTGCCGATTGCAAGTTGCTTGTCCGATTAGGAGGGATCGGTGTATCACTATTCGCCAAATATGAAAGCTTGAGCGACATTGGCCGTATTCACACTGGAGACGGATTGTTCGTCTGCGACGGGTTTCGCCTCAGACAGGTAATGGCCGTTTTTATACTAAGAACGCATTATCCGTCTGGATGAACTTGGGCAAACATTTTGTACAGTATTTCGTCTGTTTTTGCGTCTCAAGTGTAAAGACTGGCTCAATACGCATTATGACGAACTACCTTTCGTAGTGCGTTGTTCAAGACGTACTTCGCGGAAGGAAAGTTCGTCCAGACGCATAATGCAAGCATTTTCTTTCAAGAGTGATATGAACCAAACACCAATAAGCAAACATAGAAGGTTCACTCAGTTTTATTGCAAAAATCAACACATTTGCTGGCATAACCTATCATTACAAAACATCAACCTGACATTTCTACACAACGGTTTCGTCTAAGCGTAAATTAATCGGCGAACTTTAAATTTGTGCCTGTGTCTGGAAATCAGAAATAAAACACGAGATAAAACAATGATTAAAAACACAAACGAAAATGTACGAAACCTTGAAAAATTCTCGGGATTTTACTGTCGACAATAACGAACAGGACCAATCCTTGTAACACTAGCATGTCATAAATTCTTTAGCCAGTTTTAGCTCAAAAAAAAACTTCTCAATGGTCCACTAAAATTTCAGTCTTACAGTGATAGTTGTTGCATTTTTTTTAACCAATGTTGTTCAAGTAGTCAGTTCTCATGAACGTCTTAACATGTCCCAATATACACATACAAATTCTCCACACTGATCTCCATAAATTTCATTAAAGATAAAGTTGAGAGAATTCGATACTAGATTAAAGGATTTTCCTGTAGGTGATAATTTTGTTAATTCTCAGAAACTTTTTCTCTTGATTATGTATTGAAGTTGTTAGGAGAATATTGAAGTTGATCATTTTTGGGAATTAAAGGCAAATGTGATACTGAACAATATTGCTGGCACTTAAAAGAGTTGAAGCTCACTTTCCTAACAGCTGTTTTAGAATACGTTCCTGCTAGTAAGTCTATTATGCCCCTATGACTACTCATATGAATGACTGCCGTTTACTATTATATGCGCTAGGATTATAACTTTCGAGTATGGATAAACTTTTTATGTGCGACTATTCGAACGAAATATTCAAATTACCTAGGCCCACAGTACTAATAACAGCGGTAAATCACCTTGTACTTGGAGATCTCTGGGTTTAAGCTGAAGGTAGTATTCCTGCTAAAATATAATTGGTATAAAAATGCCGAGCTATTTTGCAATAACTTGTCATATATATTCGTATTACGTTTATTGGTACAGCCGTTAACTACTGTTACTACTGTTAACTACTATTTACTTTGAAAAGTGGATCTCCACAAGGCGGGTGACATTTGCTTTAAAATTGTCCTACAGTTTTCACACCACACAATATAATGTAGATCATATGGAGACTTCCTAATACTTAACTGAGCAACTTATTGGGTCACAAAAAACCGCTCTTCATCTGCGATATTTAGAAGGTAACACGTTTATGCATTATTTTTCTTCGCTGTCGCGAAAAGGAAACCAAAAAAAAAAAGAGAAAAAAGGTTGAATGAAATGAAAACACCAAGAGAAACAGATGGCATATCAGCCCAAGTCACAGTAGCAAAGTTGTGCTTAAAGATCCTTCGACTCACGGCGAAACAAATGTCGTCCCATGTAAATTCTCACTAAGCAAAGGATTCGGCAAGAATTTGTTAACCTCGACTTGAAAGCGAGGCCCAATCTTTGACCTTTTGAGACGAATTCAGGAGAAAGCAACAGGTTGTTTCCTGTTGTATAGTACAAATGTACTAAGATTTTGTATGTTGGTCGGTTGCATTGTATGATATTTAAATAACGCGGGTCTATGTTAATGCTTTCTGGAACGGTATTTACTGTTACGACTTATGTCTTTAGTATTTATATATATATACGCAATTCATATAATTTAGTTTTTTCATATTTTTGCTATATGGGCTTGATCCTTAGAAGGTCCCCCGTTGCCAAGCGACACTCGCACCTCCGGGCGACGTCAAACAGTCTGAGAATCAAGCGATACCGCCAGTGTAACTAGAGCAGTTTTCCAGCGAGTGTCGTGAAAACACGACCTGATAAACCAATTACATCTCAATCACCAAGCGAGGGAAAAAGCGGCAGACCAAGACACGACCAGTATCACAACTTGAACCAAACCCGCGTATCGGGTACCAAGCACGGGAAATACGTGTAAGCCAGGGGTTAGAAAAATATGGCGTGACATTTTTCAGCCAGTCACAAAACGTAAAATTATTAACCCAAAGCCTTCACGGAATTACTTTCAACACTCAACTGAAAACTGCTCTACGACAAAAAGTACACAGTACTTATCATATTTGACAACCAGCGTCTGAGAGACCAAGCGCACTTAAGTTTCTTTTCAACAGCGTACAAATCGCGGCTTTAAACCTAAATGCTCCACTCCTCAAACAAAAACTGTCTACTCGGACTTAATTAACCACTAACCTCTTGCACTATATTTATCTTTTTAATCTCACTCGCCAGATATGGATGCTACAAATTATAATTTTCTTCAACGTAGTTCGCTGAATTAAGAGGGCAAAGGTTAGATAAGAAGCAAGTTTCGTCGCCTTAGAATGAAAGGAAATTCGTCACTTTAGAAACGAGAAGGAAATTACACTGAGATAGCTTTCGCAAGGACTTCCGGACAGTCATACTCTACTATACAGCCGCTTTTAGTGTCGTCACGCAACGCCCCTCCCCAGGGGAGCGTTGCGTGACGACAGACAGACTAGGAGAGCTAGTAACCAATATTTTTCCCTCTCCCCAGTGACAGTCCCATGAGTCTTTGCGAAAGTTACCTCGGTCCAGTCTCCTTTCTTTTCTAGAGTGGCGAATTGTTTGCATCTCAAGTCGTTAAAAATCGTTTTGACAAAGTCCTGTTGAAGAAATGGCAACTAGAATTTGGAGTAACAAATACTACGAGCCCCGTCAACAATATGCTATGGTTAAAAGTTCAAGCAATCTAACTCAACTGGTACAACGTTTGGCAACCAACCCGTTCAAGAAGGAGCTGCTTTGTGTTTAGGATTACCTAAAAAAACTACAAACTAAGACTACAAACTACAAAACTACCAAGATTATCTAACTTTTATCAAAATAAAGATAGGTCAAGCACCATCTATTTCATGTTTCCAATGTTAGATAAAGCGATTAAATTATTGATAATATTATATTATTAAATACTTCTTCATACTTAATATTTTCGATTGTAGTATATACAAACGTTAAGTGGGGTCCAATGGTTTCCTTTGTTTTCAGTTCTCTGTTGAATAACCTCTGCAAAGGAGGCGTGTGTGGTAAGATTTCGGCATCTACACTGTACCAAACACGCGTGCATCAAAATAACGCAACCATAATGCGTGACAACAACGTGACAAGCCACCAATGGTGACAGCCTCAGGAACAGTCGCCGTTTCTCCTGTTTTTCTCGTACTTAAGGAGTTGCCCCATGAAGTTTAAGTTTGGCGAAATCACTGGTCTCAGCTCCTTGACAAATTTGTATGCGTCACCTAGGCACAGGCCTTGTTGCTTCATGATGTAGGCTACTGTCACGGTCGCCGAGCGTGACACACCGGCGTGACAGTGAACAAGAACACCATATCCGTGTTCACGGGCTTCGTCTGCGAAAGAAAGAAAACCGTGAGAAACGAAGTTGCGTTACTTGATCGCAATTCATGGTATTCCATATCATTAGATGGGTTTAATATACTGCGTGTTTAACGAGAAATGAATTTTGTAATTACTTGTCGAAGTAACCCAACTCATGTTTGACTTCTATTCTTGACTTTGATGATTGATCCTTCCCTCATTCACCGGTGACACAAGTCCATCTGTCTTCAGTTCTTCTTCGTTTGCCACCGGTATACACTGGGAAATTCTGATACAGATTGGAACCGTGCCTCGCAGTACTGCACGAGGAGGACACGACACAGTTCCACAGGTATCCCAGTAACAAAGCGCCATGACACCACAGGCCTCCCAACAATAAAGGCGCCATGACACCAAGACAGGAATATCCCATCAACTAAAGAACACACAAGAACAAACTTTTCAAACACTTGTTCGTTTATCTTGTAACTGTCTGAAATAGTCACGTGTCCTTCTGGGAAAGCCAGGTTACCCATTTGTTGCTTCACACAATTAGGATAGTGCTTGTTAGTGTTAGCATAAACGAACTTACCTCCTGGCGAAATGGTGCGCTGAGTTGCGCCTTGATACGTGGCTCAAAATGCCTGTTTGTTCTAGCGCAATACACCTTTCACAGCTTGAAATAAGCAAGCACTCTCTTATAAAACACCCATTTTTGGTCCATCTGGACAAATTCACGAGATGGTTCGCGCTTAACTCGAAAACCAAATCGCTTGTGTTTCTACCAGAGCGCCGTTTCCCAATTCTCACCAATGAAGTACTGTATTTTAACTTACCAATAAACTGAATTGCTTCATCGAAGTGCTGACCGATGTCCTCTTGATTCGAGTCGTGTATTTTAATCTGCTTATAATGAATGTCTGGCCGCTGGCTGAAAAAATTCGGACATCGCGGCGTCAAGTTAAGGATGTACTTGATTGACAGCCTGTCAATCAAGGCTTCGTCAGCGGCGCCTTCTTCGTTGCCAAGATACAGATAAGGTAGAATGGCCGTAACGGGCGTTCCCTGAGGGCGACCTGGGACAGGTTCACATGTGGTCGGAGAGGGTGGGAAGTCCGCAGATTGGCAGATATTAACCGGAACGTTTTCGCATAAGTTCTGATAGTCCCTACAAAATTCCTTTAGTCCTCCTGTGAGAAAAACAAATTACCAAACAACAAACGGTTTTTAATGGTGGTTTTCACGTACAGGGATAACAAATGAGAATTTGAATTTTGATGTTAAGGTTTAAAGGGTTAAAGTGACCACCGTTGGGTCATAAAATCCTGGTCGTAATAACGAGGTGGTCGTATTAAAGAGCTCTTCAAAAAAATAAAATAACTCGGTGATTTTTACATTTGGGTCGAAAGAATAGGGTCGTAATAACGAGGTGGTTGTATAAACAGGGTGGTCGTAAGGCGGGGTCCCACTGCAGTGGCGCATCCAGGGGAAGGGCCCGTGGGGCGCTTGACCATGATTTCAAAAGAATTCTTAGAATTCAGCATCGGGAGTTGATTTTTCTTAGCATATCGGCTTCTACTTCAGCTAGAATTTGAGCCGCGCATATCGTTGCATAAACAGTACTACCCATAATGACAACCTGGAACAATTAGCAGCTACAAGGAGAATGAAGACCCGGAGAAACGCGCTAAAATAGGTAAATACCAACGGGAACCGTCCATAACAAGCACCAATTTTGAAAAAAAAAACAACAACAACAGGCAATAATGAGGCTAAACAATTGCACCAGGGTCTTAGAATGAAACCAGGGAAACAACTTAGACGGTTGAACATCTTTATGCGACAGCGGGTACCAAACATAACTACGGCACCGGAAGTGATTGTATAGTCAACAATAAGAAAACCGGAAGAGCGCCTGCAGCTTTTGACAAGTTCTCACCACACTCCAGTACAAAAAGATCACTGCAAAGTGAGCGTTCAAACCCACGAAAAGTTAACTCAATGCAGGAAACAAACAAATCCAAGCTGACTTTCTCGCTGTTATCAAAGTTATAATAAGATGTCAAGTCAAGCGAAGAATGACAAAACACAACTCTGATTATTGAAAGGCTCTGGAGACTGAAGAAAGCTAAACTGATCGCGCTTGTAACAACCCCAAGATACGTTTTGTCGAGGTACTTCTTTGCAACTTAATAACTGCAGAAAAAGGTCCAGCAACTTGGAAGTACGACTGTTGACTTTGAAGACAACCACCTGTTATAGCATACAAGTGCACTGTTGGGCAGCCAACACAGTTATTAAGGTGCACAATTACCAGTAAGATGAGAGCGCCGTCTTTGCAAGAGCCCCACTCGCGTTCCAAAGCACCGCGCGTTCATATTTCCTCGTTGTTTTTGCAGTTGTTCTTCTACAAACTATAAGACTCGCCACAGTTTCTAATTTCACCACAAACATACGTAAAGAGAACGACGCCATTAGGTCATTGAGAAAAGAGAAACGGGCAGGTATTACTTAATAATGACTTAACAATTACACTCGCTTTAGCTTGACTAATTATTTTCCAGTGTTACGCACTGGTGCCTCACTGCCAAAACACCTGTCAACCAAGACTTTTCAGCTTGCTCAATTACCTGCGATTTTTGCCGTTGCGATTGCACAAAATGCGTTCAAATTAGCGATCGAAGGCTAAATACGCGCTACGAAAGACTCCAGAAATGAATCGTATCGGGAAAAAGGCTGGCCGACTAACATGGAACCATTCACGTGTCCGCCCAACTTTGACAGGCAAGATACGCCTCTGAGTGCCCGCGGGTTTTTGCAACAGTAGAATTTATGCTGGATAAAGAAAATAAAGAGCTTCTATGCTGTCATGAGGTAATTTGACAGTGTCTAATGGCTTATTTCCAGTCTATCCGCGAACGAACAGGGTGGTCAAGCGCAATTTAACATCTTGACTCAAAGTGCAACTAACTCACCCAAACACCGTTATCTAAAGACCTCGAAGGAAATATCGTCCACATAGCTGGAGGTGATACAAGCTTTATTAGACAATTGCAAGGTACCGCATAGACTTGCCACAAGTCGACCTCCCGAGTTTCACTCAGTTCACAGAGCGACAGACAGACGATTAACGGTTTAAATCATTGAAGGTCTTGAGAAAACAAATTACCAAAGAAGTTTCCCATCAACACTAGGAAGCGAAACTTCTGCGACAAGTCAAGAAACATGATTTTTTCTTTTTGGAAAGTGAAAATGTGGAATTTAAAATGCAAACCACAACATCATTGATAAACAGAGAAATGCTTTGATGCTTTTCGAAAAATAAACAAACCTCAAGAAACGACACTGCAGACAACCTAAAGAAAGCTGTGCCTGATGTGAATCGAAGCTATGAGTGGTTCTCAGGCTACTAAACGTTTTTTTTTTGTTTTTTTAAAGAACGTAAGTCAACAAACTAGTTAACCCTCCGTCCTTCAAATAACATACCTGAAGCACGGTGAAAAAAAAGTTAAATAAATAAATTGACCGTGAATAGGTGTAGTATGTTTCGTCCATACATAACAACATCAGAAAAGTAAAAAAAATTCACTCATCAAACTTATCACCTTTCACTCGCGCACATGTACACAAGTTCTAGTCTCTGTCCGCGAAACGATTATTAAAAGTGGTCAAAGTTCTTCAAGCTAATTGTACAGAACACTTTCAATAAAACGGCAGGTTACGGGAACTTCTCAAAACGGCCATTCAAAAGCACTTAACCCATACATTGAAAAAACTACGACACAACTGGGCGTGCTCGAGGTGAAGATGAACTTTTCCAGAGCAAAAGCATGCTTAAGCGACCTAACGAATGGCATAACGGAATCTCGCACAAGAAGTTGTAACCAAACACTAATGAGTACAATTTTACCTTGTATAAAAAAAAAACGGATTTACATGTAAGGCGCGGTTCAAACGTCGCATTTCACAAGTGCTGAATCTGATGAAATTGAGCGAGAACAATATTATTGCCGCTGCAATTACTTGACTGCCTCTCAAATTATCAAATGCTATTTCCAACGGTGCTGAAATCCAAACACCGAGAAGCATTCCAAATATCGTTTATAAATGTTTTTTTTCACCCTCCAGATTATACAATCAGAAAAATTAATTAAATAAAATCCCAATTTAATCTTTTCGAATTGTTTTAAAGCAAACAGTACCAGTTTAAAATACGACTAAGTGCACTTCATTTCAGTCCAAATTTAAAAATCTGTTTCATATCTCCATAACTCTAGGCAAGACAGTTTTCCTTTCCACTCACAAGAGTACACATCCAATCAGCAAAATTCTACTTAACTCCCAAACTTCATGTGGTAGAATATTGAAAAATGAAGGGTATTAGACAAAACTACGGTATGTCGAAAGAAGTGTTATTAGAGTGGTCACATTATTGGATTTCATTCATGACTTAAAAGCTAGAACCCTATATGTAATTGCCCAAAATTGACCCACAGTAAGACCTTGAAATTATGAAGCTGCTATTCCACTCAGTCAATTACTTCCTCACTTACTCACCAACGGTTTTTTTCACTGGTATTTCCAACGGTGCCAAGGACAAAATTCTACAAGGCATTACAGTCAAGTTCTGTCCAGGTTGTTTCTTAATTACTGAACCTAGTTGCTACTTTGAAGTAAAACATGTGAACCACATAACCACACATATTTAGTGAAACAAAAATATCAGAAGGGTGAAGTCAGTGTTGTAAAGTCTTTCAACTCAGTGGTCTGCATCGACCGTGCCAATATGGGCCTTAATGCCCACTCAGGCTAAACTTGATAAGGAAATCGTTCACGTCTAGCTATTATAACAGCAATATTGAGAGAATTAGATCTGATTTAGCATATAAAGGAGACGAAACAGTGGGAGGTTTATGTGAGAGCTTACTTCTATAAATTAACCTAACTCCAAAACCAAATATACCATTTAATGGGTCAATGAGAACAGCAGAATTAATTGAAGAAATTAAATGACCCTTAATGTAATTACCTGATCCTGAGGAAACCCTGATTAAAAATACATGCAAGTATGAAATGACAGACTCCAAATTAATCAGTAGAAATCCTTCAAATCAGCTATTCATATTGAAAAGTGAAAGCATACAATTACTTGTAAACCACCTTGTGACATGACCATATTTTGCTGATGAAAGAAAATTTATTTTAATCACATCTTGCTCAAGATAGCTTAGTGACCTACTGTATTAAGTCAGCTAAATCTGCCTACGTTTCCAGTTCACTAGCCATGCTGTTACCTAACACAATTGTTCTGGATGAGTTCTTCCATATTTTCATTGCTACTAACTGACCCTACCCCCCACCCCTGGTAAATAAAAATTATTACCTCAAGGAAATTGTATCCTAAATGTTGTAAATTATATGTCAAGAGCAAAAATTTAGAGAAAATTATTCTGCTTGAGAGAATCAGCTATCACAGAATTAACCAAACCAACCATCCCTTCTTTTTATTTGAGATATAGCTCGATTCTTTTTCAAAAACAGTCACTTTCCCTTTTAAGCACATTTAATTTCCTTGTGACCTTTGGAACTCCTAACATTTCAAACCCATTCTTCCAACTTAAGAAGGCTAGGAAAGTTGAGTTTACTCCATGGGAGAAATAAGTGTAACTTTCCAGAAAACCAGATGACATGCAAAACATATTTAAATTTATAACCTTGGTTAAGTTTTAAAGCTATAACCCCTACATAGCTATGAGCTTGGAATTTCTCCCTTGTTATGACAAACTTTAATCACTCAGAGAAGCAGTAAGAAATAAAAAAATCATCAAACAATACACTTATGTAGTAAATGTATACTATGGCCGGGAATTTGTAGGGGAAGAGGAGGGAGAATTCATGTTCTGATGGTGAGATTAAAGGTTTTAACTGTCAAAGTTTCACATTTTCTCAAAAAGGATAATGAAATCTGATCACTGGTGGATGCGAAACATGAACAACATGAAAGGTCAGAATTTTCAGCCTTATTTCAGATAAGAAGGAAGGAAAAGGGTCAAATATCTAGCTTATGTAATTCTCAATTTTCTTTGCCTCCTACCCTTATTATTCACATAAATCAATAACCTGATCATTTTTCTTTGGTTCTTTCATTATTTACAAGCGTGAGTAACACTAAGGTCACGAAACAAAGGAAGCTGAAACTAAAACTATGCTGAAACTATTTTAAACTAAATTTCATTTTGAACAGTAAAATATATAAAGACGTGTCATCAACAGGAGGCATAATATGAAAAACTCCAGTGAAAGGAAGCTTCTAACTGCAGCCGGCCATATCAAAAACTGCATCTTCAGTGTTACCCTCAAATATCCAATTGAATTTAAACCAAGCTAACAAAAAACAATGTAAAGTTTAACCTCTGGGTCTTTAACTTTCCAATACAGTCGAACCCCGCTATTTCGAACTTGGTTAATTCGAAGTCCCCGCTATTTCGAAGAAAGATCGAATTCCCTTGGATTTACCCTTATGTTTTCAGTCATTTACCATCAGCTATTTCGAACTCGGTTATTTCGAATTCCCCGCTATTTCGAACTCATCGTTCTTTCCCTACACCTTAAAATCAACCCCGTTATTTCGAACTTGTCAAAAACAGAGTACGTACATAAGAGCACAGCTGGAAACGTATTGCATTTTAATTTGAGTTCGAACAGAACATACAAAGATTTTTCAATGCAACAGCATCTGCTGATTTATCCAACATATAATTACTGTATTTTTATTTAATCAGTGTCTTTCTTCATACAGTACTGTATGTTATTAAAAAATGATTCATTGTTACCAATTTTACGCTTCCCCGGTTATTTCGAAACCCCGCTATTTCGAACTTTTTTTCCATTTCCCTTGGTTCTTCGAAATAGCGGGGTTCAACTGTATTATAAGGACATATAATTTTGTTCCAGCTTTCAGCCAAAAGATGAAAATATCCCTTTGTGTAACCATTCAAGATTCTATCAAACATTTCAGACATTTAAGGAATTTTGATATTGAGCACCCATTCAAGTCAATGGCTAGTTTACGATATACCCGAATATTGGGGTGAACAAGAACATATAACCAGTTTAAAATTGAATACGACTGAAAATTAAAGATCCAGCAAGGATCTACCGTGAATGAAAGAGTAACATGAATGAAGAAAAGGAAATGAAAAACTGAAAACAACAGCTTTAACTTCAGCAAAGTAATAACTAAACCATCAACAGTCAACCATCTGCGGATGAATATTTAAGCATTGATCAAGAAACAGTGGCAATCTTGTTAAAATATAGCACTAACCCAGGGTGATCTTAACCCAGTTTTAAACAACCCAGTCCAGAGAATTACTGAATAAACTTGCTTTTTCCAATCATGGAAGAGGGGATATTGTGTTTTCAACATGTTTAGTCATGAAAACACTGTCAAGACGTTCACGGGTGGGACAAAGATTTCCCAACTTTAGCTCATGAGCACTGTCTCCTTTGGGGTTCAGTGCCATAAGCTGGCAACGATTACTTACTGATCACTTCTTTGAGATTTCAGTAAAAGGTTTAAATCTGAAACTGACTGGTGGATATTCATAACAGCAGCTGAAGTGTTTGTTTTTTTGAACACTTGAGAATTGGACGAAAACAAGGATATAGCTTCAAGATGTGGTGGTTAGAAATACAAGACCACAGAACTCTAGGTAAATGGAAAGCTTTGTTGGTTTTGAGAAGTGAAGTTAGCAATGATGCAGTAACTTTCACCTACTTCTGAAGGAGGAAAGAAAATAAAGTGACCAACATCAATCTTCTCCTTACAACATCCCTTCACCATCAAAAGAAAAGGTAATGAGAATGTAAAAAATGGTCAACAAAGGGAGAAGGTTTTGATCGTTTGACATGTACTGAGATCAGTATGGAGAATTTGCATGTGAATATTGGGCATTACAGAGTTAACTCTCCTGGCATGCTCAAACCAAAATAGTTTGGAAAAATCTCTGGTTATTGACTGTCAATGATAGCTCCAATATAGACTTGTAAAAGTACACCATACAAAAAGAATTCTCTTCGAAAGCCAAGAAGTTTGAAATAGCTTGATATCAGGACAGTGTGAAATGTGTTTGCAATGCACTACCACATTTGGGCAAATTAAAACCTTTTAAATACTATTCTTTGTGACTGCAAGCGTTTTAAATGCTTTTCATAACAGCAGTGTTAAGTCACATTTCATACCAAAATTCCTTACAGATGTTAATCCCAATCCAGACAAATTCCTGTGAAAATTATTCCTTAAAAAAATACTTAGCATCCAGGAAAAAATAGCAGAAATGAAACAGAATCTGTGTTGCTCTTCAGTATAAATGCTGACATCCAACTATAAACTTCTTTGTGTCATTTTTTTAAAACTTTTCTGCTACAAAAAGAATGCAGAATGAGGATGATTGTATGACATAATATGATAATGAACGTATGAAAGAGTCAGTGTTCAGAATATAGATTAGGAGTTGCTCGAGGGTTGATCTGTTGCCCACAAAGCCAATAAAACACTTTCAATTTCACCTCTCAACACAAACAGGTTTTGTGGTGAGAGTTAGGAATTCGTGCAGCGAAAAATGCCGACGTCAGATTATTTCCTGTGCAAGCAAACAAAACTGATCACGAAGCATGACCATTGCTTTTTCGGTATCTGAGCCTTACTTGCGTCACACAAGCTTTCTTGACAAAAGAATAACTTAAACGTGACCATGTCTTTATGTTACAGCTGTTTACGAACGAACGACTACGCATGAACATAAGCACGACAAAAACCGAATTCAGGCTCTTTTTAAGCATTAAAATCTAAAACTGACAAGGGAGACGAAACTGAAGATTATAATTTGTACAAAGGAAAACTATCGCGCGTCTCGATCGGACGCCCTCATTTGTTGACATAAAGTGTACGCAAAATGCGCGCTAAGAATCGCGGTTGACCGAATACAGTACTTATGCGTTTGCGTTATGTAAGAAACTGGTGCTAATAAAACCCAACTTACCTTTAAGTATTGAAATATTCTTTCCTTCTTTTAAAAGAGTCTGTAAAACTAAGCAAATCGGTCGACAAGGATTACAGTCATCAGGGTCAGTTGACAGCTCATCGTAAACTACAAACGAGGTCCCCACTCCACCACTGATAAACTTTTGTTTGCCCTCGGCAGAAGATATTAAGTCCTTTAGTTTAGCTTTGCCTTGTGAAAGTCTTTTTCGTCCTATTCCAGTGCAATTCACATGTATAGCACCTCTAATGTGTAGTCCGTTGAAGGCTACTAAAGATCTGCAGTCAACAATGAGAATTTCCGATGAACAAGAACTCGTACCAACATCACTCAATCTTTGGGCGAGTTCAAACGAAGTAACAATTTTCCATTTACCACAACTCGACATAGTGTTGGGTCGATTTACGCATCCGACTTTCACTTCTGTAGGTCTTGGTTCGAACAGAAGAGGAGGCATTAAGATAATAATTTAACGCGAAACAAGAAAGTAAAAACCGTCGGTGAAAAACCGAACGAAAACGCGTGTGAGCAGCTGTCTCAAACAAGACCACAACCAATGCAAGTTCTTTTTAACACGTGTAGACGAATATTCCAACACAAACTATTCCCAAACTCAAAGTGAAGTTCTCTGTCTCTTTTGGAAAATCCCAGGTTTCCAAAGGAGCGACTAGCAGAGCGAATGGCTTTCGAAACAACGCGATTCTTTGTAAACCCTCATTTTGCATACTAGTAGGTTGTTGAGAAACCGTGTGAAGCAAAAATAGCCTGTTCAAAAGAAATAGTGATGTCATCGCTAGCCAATGAGATAACGCCTTCAAAAAGAAAAAAAATTCTGCTGACAACTTGTTACGACATCCACCATATATGGAGTTATCATAGTGACGAAAGGGCCCGATCGTTTGCGAACTCCTACGAGTACCTTCCCTCGGGTTATTTCATGCGGAAACGAACATTTCCCGGGTTCTAAAAATAACTATTACCCTGCCGAAGTATTGGCGTGCTTTGTCGTGTTCAATCAATATGTCCTTTGACGAGAAGCATGATGGTTGTCATAATCGGATAAAAGAGTATCTTTCAAAAAAAGTTCATATCTCTGAACACCAATCGATCGAACTCCTGTCATGACTTACTTACATGTAAGACCAGATGAGATCAAAGAAAGTTCCAGGACATTCTATGAACTTAGTAGAGCGTGGGATGCAAATGTAGATAAATGGGAAAAAAAACTTCATCCAATGATTTTAACTTCCCTTTCCGTATAAATAAATTGAAATATATTACACAAATTTTGACTTCGCTATTTTTTTTCTAGAAAAATATAAATAATACAACAATGACCACAAAAGGTTAAAGGATATTACGATAAAAAAGGGCACACAAGGAAGCGACCGGTTACTGTTTTGTCTGGATATAGGGTGCAGTAACATGTTTGGTTTCTAGGTGAGGTGTGGACTAAATTTATACTAAGGGGATGAACGTCTCCGAAACTGAAATAGTTTCAAATGCTTTGTTCTCAGGCTAGGCATGGAGACATTCTTTGACAAATTGATCTCGAATACCGGCCGCCTATTAACCTTAACAAACTCCCAGTGGACTACTTTAAAAGACCATCAAAGTTTCCTATCCCTTTTTTGTTACTCATTGTCAGAGCGCGTCTTCAGTAATTACACATTTAATAAGCTATACATTAGTTTACCGCAGGCCAGCAAATAATATTAGGTCACCGATCTCTTACGAGTGAAAGTAAAATTAAACATGACTAAAAACTGATTAGTAAACAAAAAAGTCATCGCACTTTTAAAGCATAAATACATGGAATTTCTATGTTGTTATTCCTCGTTCATGATTATTTTCGCAAAGACCAGGGCAAAAGGGCACTTTTACTATGTCGACTGTCAAGATTTTATCAGCGAAAAATAAAACAGGAAACAGGAAAAAAAAATAGAAAAGAAATGAGAATAGTTTTTTGACCTGTAATTCATCTGATTGTTTGGAACGAGAGAAAAAAATCTACGTTTTACGGCAAGACCAGGGACAGTTTCCCTTCCATGTCACTGCCGCGCCGGACTAGGAGACGGCTCAAAAGATTTATGTCAAATTTCTTACAATGGTATGCTTTAGAAAAGTATCATTTCAAATTGTGTTATTTACGTGACACGGATAAAATGGATTTTTTGAAAGCGACGTCACTGATCCATGTCAGCTCATGTCAGCGGATGCACGCTCCAAACACGTTTCATCCACGCCGCCATCGCGTGACAGGACGCATGGCAATTAGTACTGCAAGGAAGTAATTTTTTGGAGAGTAAAATTGAGATGTTTGAAAACCAGGCGCAAAAATGTTACTGTTCTATGGCATGTCCTTCCTTATAGCAAAGCTACCCTTTTTGAAATATAAACCACACCAGTACTCCTCAAATCGTTTGATTAAGTGCTGTGACTAAGGGTTTGCTGTTATTCATAAATTTGATACCGTGACCAATGGACCAAGTCCAAATTGTAGCAATTATTTTTGGCACTCCGTTTCTATGAAGTCATTTCTTGTGAAGCGGAGGTAGAAGTTAATTTTAAAAAGAACACATCAATAGCTATAACCATACTTAAATAATAAAAAACTCAATCATACTTTACTTTTAAAAGGATGATTTAAATTTCTTCCGATCCCCAAAAGAACGAGCTTTTAGCGGGGTCGAGCAGGCAGAGTGGGGACTGGGTAAGATTTGGCTACGGTTTCCATGGGAACCATCTAGACAGAGACTGGACAAAATGGCTACCTTCATTACCTTGATGGAGTCTAGAAGGAATGTTGTTGACCAATTATTTCAAAAGCAGAGGTTAGATGACAAGTATTACGCCATTAAGGCCTTAATTATCCTTTCGTTTACATGTTTTTAAGCTTTGATCTTGGAAGAGACATATCTCGAGCAGTTTTTGCGCTCGAAAACTCGATCGCGTAACTGTAACTTGTTTTCATCTAAAAACTATACCTACAGATACTAAATCAAGCCGAAGGTAATACTTTATACATTGATTTATATAAAACTAGGCCCAGTGTCTGACTTATAGTCTACAGCTGGCAAGAATATCAGTACAGTGCATCTATCTCAGAAATAAATAACATTGAATTCATACAACTACCAGCACTCAGCTACTCATGTACTGGGCATAGTAGATTTGTGTGGCTAAGTAATAAGAATTTTGTGTAGGTTTAGACTTGAGCACAACACAGAAATCCCTTTGAAAAGCACACAAATGCAGGTCTCTAAACTGTTGAAACTTCTAATGTTCAGTTAATCTTAATAGAAAGTACATGCTCAGTTATTTTACAAACATAATTGTTGGTCTGGCTAGTAATTCCAGGCGTAGTTAATTGATAAACTGATATTGATAACAATCGTTAGTAATCAATATCAATCTTCAGTGAATACTGATTTTCAATATCATCGATAGAAATTGATAAAGAAAAAAAGTTGTAACGTTGATAAATATTGATTTCTGATATTAATAAATAAAGATTTATTTATCGATTGTTATCAATTATTATCAGAAAAGACTCGAGTCATTTGTCAGAAATTTGACACTTACAGAATATCTGTACCATATATACTCCTCAAGAATATTGCTTGTTATTGATTATTAGTAATAATTATTATTACTATTGATTGTTATCTATTTTTCAATCAATAACGATCGCTAAATTGTTTTTTTCTGTGACTTCGTTAGTTTCTATCTATATTTTCCAATAACAATTGATGGACTATATCGATTGATTTCCAAATACATTGATTTCTGCCAATTAACTATGCATGGAGTAATCATAGGCAGACCTGCTACTTCAGAGACTTAAACACTCAATTCAAATAATATTGAGATGTGCAGTTACAGTGAATTTCGTATGACCTTGAAATGAAAACCTGCAAACAAAACAGAAACAACAAACAAATGGAAATAGAGTGATTTGATTGGTTTGTCGAACAGATACAAACGCGTGTGGTTTTTGGTTGGTTAAGCGAACGCTTGGCTGAAAAACTTTACGCTCGAAGAACTTTCCAGAAATCAACCCATACTTTGCTTTGACCTTATACTGCAACACGATTGGCCAATCAAACAATGCCTTCTTCATGTTACATTTTTTCTTTGGTGGGAAAACATGGAGGCCACGTTTTGATCTTTTCATCTATTGGCTGATGAAACGAATAACAAACACTTGTAAACAAAAACCATTTTTCAAGGTCATATGAAAATCGCTCTAATAGGATGTGCAGTTAACAGATTGTTACATTTTACAGGGATGCAGAGGATCAAAGGCAAAAGGAATTCCAAGCAGCGCTTAAGATCCAGTCTTGGTTTAGGGGAACTAAAGTTAGAGCTTACTTTAGGTATGTATGAGAACAAGACTTTAATGCAGTTGATTCTAATCTTGACACTATTATAATGGTCAAACCTCTACTTTACATCATCAATGAGACATGAAAGCACTGTAGGCATGAAATCACAATCCAACAACCAAACATTGCTCTTTGATATATTTTTAGGTTGCAACAGTACATAATACAGATTTATTCACTCACTCTTTTTTAATGGGAAGTAATAAACAGCTCCAGAAAATAATAACGTCCATACCCTGGACCACACACACCTTCCCCACTGACATGATTTTTTCTAAAACCCCTCATTCCTCTCTAGAAATTCCAACAATTGATACCCCCAACACAGGAATTTACCATCCCTTCTGTGGGGGGTGGGGAGGTCAATGCTACAAAATAATAACACCTGTACAGTGTATCTGTTGCAGGTCAAAATTGAATTCAGGTTAAAATTATTTAACCTTGGTTGATTCTCAATTTTTTTTTGTCTCCTAGCCCTAATTCACAGAATAATAATTAGGGCTAGGAGACATTAAGCGAAATTGAGAATCAACCTAGGATAAAAAATTCTAACCTGAATTTAATTTTGACCTTACTGTAACGTATCTGTAATATTATATCTTTTTTCATAGATTTCTTCATCTCTGTGCAACAACAATACAGAAAAATTTTCGAGGTCACAAAGGTAGAGAAATTCACAGACATCTTGTACAGGTAAGATTTTATTTGTTGATTCATTATCTTTCACCAAACATTTTTGTAAACTGAAATATTATTGTTAAAGAGAGAACTATGAGCAAAGTAAGTAAATGGCGGTGCCATACAACAACCTTATTGATTAATAGCTCAATTTCTAACAATACCTTGTTCTATCAGGAAAAACTGACCAAAATGCGGGTTGACTTCTACAACAAGCATGCAACAATAGTAAGTGTTGATGCATCCATGCAGATTTCAAATTTATAACTTCTAATACAGTTGCCATTTAAATTTGATAATTTTTAGTTTTGAAAAATGAAATAATTCAAAATTTATTTATTTTTCTACAGATTCAAAAATTTTGGAGAGGTAGGTTATGGAAAGTTTTTTTTATGTAGTTAAATAACCCCATTATTGACATATTAAATATAATAATTTATTATTATTGCTGTATGCTTTTAATTATTGATATAAAAATATTAATAGAAACCAACCAGCATGCAATTCCATAATCTGATTGGCTAAGATACTATCTATTGTGTGATTATTTTCTGTTAGGTTTCTATGTGCGCAAGTATATCTATAATTACCACAGTCGCAAGAGATACTTACAGGGTATTGTCACCAAGAATGAAATAGTGAGGTGAGACTAATAAGATACTAAAAAGTCAATGTTATCCAGGAGATTTGATGACCTGTAAAGGAGATCAGTAGATTTATACCATATTCCAGAGACTATCAGATAATCTGGGAGAGTTGGTTTATATGATATTTATTGGCCTGCCCGGCAAAGATGCCTCTGGTTGATATGTAGCAAACAATCAGTATGAGCAGCCCAGTACGTTATGGGTATCACATGTATGTCAGTATTATCGTTGCAGTGGTAATAGACAGCCTTGCAGTCCCAGCTTGAAAGTTGTGAATGGATAGAAATTTTCAAATAAGTCAGAGGGCTAAATAAATGTGAACCATGTGATCAGTCTAGGGTACTGATTTTCTTTTTTAGGAAAGAGCTGGAGGAATTTGCCATAAAATCAGAAAAAGAAAAGGACATGAAAAGAGAGTTGGAAGAAAAGGTAATCAGACTCTAACGTTGTTTTTGTGATACTCAAAATCAGATGCTCCACTAACTTACATCATAAAGTAAAGTTTAAACCACAGTGTAAGTATTAACTCATCATTCTGTTTTGCTGACTAAGCCTAGCAGCTATTCAAACAAAATAAAATCTTGTAATAATTTCAAATAACATTTTACAACAGTTGCAGAATTTACTGTCAAACTCAGAAAACTCGATGTGAACACCTGAACATTTTCAGGAAAATTGATTGTGTTGTGACCAATCACAATTAAGTTCAGGACACACGAGCAAACTACAAAACCACAAACTAATTATCTTTGCTGTTTGCAGTTTTCTCATGCCTCATATAGGCTTTCTCCTCACAACACAATAATATTCCATAAATATTTCTCGTGTTCACGGTTTTGTGAGTTTCATAGTTAATGCCATTGTGTCATTGACAATTACTATTTTCTTGGTTTAGTTTGCAAAGGAGATGAGTGCACGAAAAACACACTACTTGATCAGTACCCACCAGGTGCCTGGAGTATACAACTCGCCATTTTACCCACCAAATCCATCTGCAAAGGAAATTGAGCTTCGAAATGTAACACCACTCAACCACAGAAGCCGGCAGCGTCTCAAGGCTCAGCTTCCATCTGATGCTGCAGAGATTCTCAACCAGTCGAGAAATGTCAGAACATTATCCAGAGAGTCTAAAAGTATTCCACTGCCACCAATATCCATGAGTACAGCACAGAAGATGCAGGTACGTGCACAGGGTTCCCATCCTCTGCTCATGTAGTGGATTCTGCTACATATTAAATATAGCTGTGTCAGTTATAAACCCTGTCTTTTCACATTCCACAGGTCAGATTCAGGTCAACGTGCATAAGATAAATAAATGAAAAGTGTGTTCTAATTAACTACAGGTATATCAGATTTGAGCCAGCTCAACCTGTGGACTGGCACAGGTGTATTTTAGACTCAACAATCAAAACTCAGCCTGACTGGGGATTATGCCTGATTTAATTTGATGACATCTATAGCAAGATTATTCAAGTTATTTGCTCTGACGAAGGGCTCAGCACTCAGAATGTTAGCTTTTTTTGTTTAATAAGCCCACCAACATATCACCACTGTTTCTTTATAAACCAACCCAGTATTTTGTTCCTGGTTTTGTGTTTGTGTAGGGTCCATTCCGCACTCCTGATGAGGTATGGCAACAGAGACACAAACCATTAAATCCTACTTTAAGAGTGGCCACGTCATATTTCTCAGCAGAGGATGCCAGGTACATGCTGATCAGCCTTCCAAGTCTGTGTCCACCACTTCTCATTTAACATTACAGGGTTGCCACTGTCAGGGGAAAATCAGGGAAGAACAAAGTTAATGGGTTTCAGTGTTAGTGACAACGTCAGTGAAAAGTCAGGGAATTTTATTTTCAGGTTGCCACAGAGTTTGAGTTCTAAATTTCATTGTTCAAGAGATAAAATGGATTACGTACAGTGGAAGCTGTCATAAGTGGACACCCTCGGGATACCAAAAAGGTGTCCTTAACAATACTGGAGCTGGCTTTCTACGGGAATGTAACAATACAGAGTTTGTATGGGAGTTGAGAAAAGCAAAGTTTTGTGAAGGCTGCCATAAGTAGAGCTGCGCGCTTACAAGAGTGTCTGTTTGGAGAGCTTCCACGGTATATAAAAATGGTCAGAAAAAAATTTGATCCCCAGTGGGAATTCCAGTTACTTTGAATGCTGTAACCATTGAGATCGGTTACTCATGGCAAGTAGGCCGCTCGAAAAAGGTGTGCTAATAGCTGGGCTTGGGTGACATATTCCCTGTGCAGCTTATGACATATCTTACTCTTGTGCTTATATTTCCTTCTCAGGAGTGATATGAAAGCTGATGAATGGGTATCAAGACTGATAGATGATAAGTGAGTAGATGATGAGCTTGTTCTTGTATTATAGTAACAAAAACATTGCATAAAAAGTTTGAGGACATGAAAGTTTAGTTTACATTACATTACCATTTTGTCTTTGATGCTTGCAGACTGTCTAGTTTCGCTTTTTGTCAGCTTGTTTGGTTGTCTGTTACATTAGTATGATTTGCAGAGCATGTGCAGTTTAGTTGCATCTATACCCCTAAGAAGAATTTGGCTCAAATCCCTCAGGGTTCTTGTTTTGTTGTCCTTTCAACAGAAATGTTCCTCTGGCCTTTCCTCAGAAGTCCTCAAACTCCTAGTGGTCAATGGCTCAATATCTGTCTAGCGCTGCTTCAAAGATATCCTCAGTCACATGATATGTTTCTATCACAAGCTGATTGATACCTGTGTTTCGTCTCTTCTCTTGGTGCTCTCACTCTATATCTTTATCATCAAGTCAACCTCAATCAACAGTCCTTTTAACTCTGTTCTTCGCTGCAACCTTCGTCCTTCAACAGACATTCTCAAACTCATTAATAATTCATTAAGAAAATACAAAGGAAATTAATGTTTAATGAGTGTTTGGAAATCGGATGAAACACTACTTAGTATTTGCATCCTTAATTTCTCCTTCAAAAATGATTTTGTGTGAGAAGAAATATCAAACATTCGACACAGTGTTTCATCACCAGATGAAACACCTCGAAGTTCGTCAAAAATACTCCGCTGCGCGTCGTATTTTCAACTCTCTTCTCGGTGTTTCATCTGGTGATGAAACACTGCATCTCATGTTTGATATATTACGTCAACATTTGTTTCCACTGGTCTACCAAAACACTGCTACCTTCTGCCTTCTGACAGTTGCCAAAAAGAATGAGCTGTACTCTTGGAAATGACCGTAAAACTCATTCTTACACTCAGTTTAGTGGCTTTTCTGGACTCTTCTACTGTGTCTACTGCATCTTTAATGCCAGCTTCACAACCTCAACTGATCTCAACTATCTTTCCATAACTTTTTGCAAGTCTCCCCCTTGTGATAAGTCTTGTAATACGTTTAAGAACCTCAAATTTAGATTCTTAAACATTCAATTTCCTTATGTGCATCATGATGCTTTGCTACTTTCCTTGTTTTGCAATGAATGTTACATTCATCAGAACAAAGTTAGACTTACTTGTTTCTTTGATTCTAAGTTCTCTTTGTCTTCTTCGTACTTTTTCTGGTTCACAAATAAAATAAATCATCCACCTTTTTCAATGAAGAAGTTCTCTATGCCATGAATGCATTTTGTTCGTTTTATCTTTAACCTTCTGTCAGTAGAAGAAAACAACTCCAATGATTTCGTTTTGGTCTCAAACCTAAAACATTCCTTCGGCTACTTTGCTTCCTTTCTTACGTCACTTTTGAGGATCCCAGACCTTTGCTTATCTCATACTGCTTGCTCTTCATAACTTGGACTCAAGGGTCTGGGAAAGAGTAAGGCGTGTACTCCCTACCAGACTTCCTTTTTCTGCCTTGCAACTTTACCGTCCATGTAAGTTCTGGCATTTCCTTTCAACATTTCATAAATATAAATAGCAGTATCATAACCATTTACCTTTTTTCCTTCTTTTCAATGCTGTCTCCTAAATCACTTCAGGAGTCTTTTTTCTTGGAAGAAAGTGCCGTTAAACTTCTCCGTATTGTTCTTTCAAAAATGCACATTTTATAAATGGTTTTCTGAAAGAAAATTATCAAATCCGTGTTTTTTAAAAATCTGAAAAATCTTCACAAGCTTTCACTGTAATAGAACTTCCTACAGTACTGTCCCTTCATTCGTTAACATTTTGCATCATTCGTGGTTGAAAATTTGAGGAAATATTAAGAAGAAAGTATCCATTTTTATCATTTTCAGATTCCTTCCATTCACGCATCGTGACCGTCCTTATGAACCGCTTTTACACACGACTTCCCAATATGGAAGGTGAGTATGACGTCTTGATCAGACCACGTGAAGCTAGGGAGAGATTTTACAAGGCATGACGGTGACAAGCTCAAAGATCACAGTATAATACGCCTTCTATTTCTGATTATTTTGCCGTGTGTTGCATTGAAAACCGAGGCAAAAACCGCAATAAAACACAGAAAATCTCACCCTGATCGAAATTTATTCTCTTTTAGCCTGCCGTATGGAACAAAACATTTTAGGGAAGAGGACAAAGAAAGACGAATAACACCCTCGGTAAGAGTGTGAAGTGTAATTTGTTAGTGTGCAAGTAATTAAATCTCTGGGTGCAAGAACAATAGAGTGATTGTGAGCCAGTATTTTATTGGTACGAAATTCGTAATCTTGGGTGTGACTGAATCGAGGAACGGTCGGCGAGACTGAAACGAGTGAAAGAGCTGAGCGTGGACTGAAACAGGCCCACTATCCCCAATTTTCACTCGGTTCAGGTTACTTTCGCTGTTTCTGTCATAGTTTTTGGCGCAGCATTATTAAAATGTAATGCAGACGTGTAAAACTTGTTATTTTTTTTCTTTTTGCAGAGATTTCAAACAGTGGTTTCTCCAATTCCAGTTTTCGAGCAGTTTGGAAAGACGTACTAACAGTGTACTTGTACAAAACTAAAATATCGTAGTTACAACAGTATATCGGATACTGTCCTCATTTTAGCTAGGAAGAAAAGATAGCCAATTATCTTCTTTGTATTTGTATGTATTTTTACTTGCTATAAAATTACAACAAAGGAAACGACCCTGGTTTTGTAAATATGTAAGATAGATTTTAAGGCAATCGTAACTTTCCAAACCTTTTTCGAATATACCGGGTATAGTTCTTTCTCATTGTAGCTGATCAGATATGTAAAATAGTGTAATAAATTTACAGAACAGATGATATATTTGTGTCGAAGTGCTTTTATCAATTATACTAGGTAAAATCAAATAGTCTTTCAATTTGTTTTCGCCGTATATTGGAACGCCACAAAACTAGCTACTTTGCTTCCGCTGTTTTTCCAGGCTTTTTTGTTTAAAAAAATCCCTGTGTTGAAATATTCCTATCTTAACGAGCCGCGTGTTCTTTTGTTCGTTCGTTCGTTTTTTTTTTGTTTTGTTTTTTTGCTTAGCAACGTTCATTGATCTGCTTGCCGTACGGTGATTGGTCAGATTTATGACAGTTCATTTGCCCTGCTGTCATACGGCGATTCATTGGCCAGATTTGACGGCTGTTCAATTGCCCTGCATGACGTACGGTGATTGGCCAGCTTTGATGACTGTTTGATAGACAACGCGTCCAGTCAGATTGGTTGGGGAGTAACGTCGCTGAGCCTTGTGGTACGCCGAAAAACCCCCCTGCCACCTTTTCAACCAATCAAAAGTCAAGCAAGGAAAAACTGTAACAAGTTCAGATGAATTGCGACACATTTTTCCCGCGCTTGGTTGCGCTTGCTATCAGCTCCATGCGTACGCTTTCTGACGGGTTCTTGTGTCTTCTCTGCTTGTATTTTGCTATCCTCAGTTTTCCAGCGAAAAATAAAAACGGTCTATGCGACATTGCCGTCACACATACAAGGTTAAGGATTGCACTTTATGAATTTCTGCTGTCAGTCCTAAATACAGAACTCAATAGTATGTAGAAGCATTTATAACGCATCTGAGTCTAAAATGGCGTCAGGTTGTAAATCTGTGTTTTTCTTCTTTGAAAACTAACCATAACTCTTATGGGCTGTTCTGATTATTTAGGGAGAAAAAAAATCATCATTAATTCCTGATAATTTTGAAAATTATGGAGCAATTTGTTCTCATTTTGACTTGGCTATTCTGAGAAAATGAATGGTTTCGGAAATTAAACAAATGCCCCTAAAATCCTTTGTGGTCGTGGAAATTAAGGAGAAATAAAGGACACAAAACAAAAGCGAAAATGCAAATTTCATAGAAAAGTTTCACAATAAAGACGGTTCTTTCTTTTCACCGCCAGAGAGGTATTATCCAGCCTTCAAGAAATTACCCATCCAAAAGTAAAGATAATGTACTTGAATATTGCTGATTCTGAATTTCATTTACTTGCTTTGTTTTTATTTTTTTGAAAAGGGAATAGCGATTTTTCATTGGTTAAGCAGTAATATTACATTGAGGGTTTATTGATTTACTGTTGGAAACATCAGTACAAGCCGAGCACCAAACAAAAAATCTTGATGTACGTCAGAGATCATTGTATCTTAAAAGCTGAATAGTTTCCGTTGTCTTAATAACAACAAGACTTAGATCGATGTGCATATTGTTCTACGCGATTGATGCAAATGTGTTAAGCTAAGTTCTAACCCATGTTCGCTGTTACATTTTACGTACAATTTTTCGAAAGATGCTTGGCCGCGACACCTGCGTTCATAAGCTGAGAGGCTTATAAATCATGGCTCTTAGTTGCAAGTGAACAAGTAAAATCTTCGGTGGCGCTCATTAATTTTTGCCGACTTCTCGTCCACATTGAAGTTTCCAAGAAGCATAATGTTCTTCCACAAGGCTCCTCTTGCATTTATCATATTTTTTTTGGTGGCGGCCGGAATATTTTTCTGCTTTCTGGGTTATTTTTATTTGTGGATGTGTTGTCGGAAGCGATACCGCATGAAAGAGCAGCGAAGCCGTAAATCGACGACATCGGAAAATAAAACCAACGAAGAACGATTTCACGATTTGACAAAGCCAGACAACGAAATTTGCCAGCCGGAAAAGGGAAAGAGACAATTTTATCCAATCGTATTTCACAACAAGACCCAAGAAACAGCTGAACTGAGGTTACTGTAAAAAGAGAAAAAACGAAGAAACGAAGCTACGAAAAAGACAATGTGCGTGTTTACATCGACTGTTTTCATTTTCTGTCTCTAAAAGGTGAAGAAATAATTCAAGATACATGATTGTTGACTCAGAGCTGAGCTATTCAAATGAAGATAGTAAGCATGAACATTTTGTACTGATTCTCACTTTCTCGAACAGTGAAGTTCCGTCGAAAAATGATTAAAATAGCGGTTCGAATTATCTTGTAATTTACTCTAAGACATGTTTTCCTTTCTTGTCACCGACTTTCCGGTTTTTGCATTATTGCTTTTTTGTTTGCGATCCATTTTCTTGTGAATTGGCAGGAGATGTGATAAAAACAGGGGGAAATAATAGCGTGTTTTCTATGTATACAGAACCGTAAATGCATCGCTAAAAAAAGTCTTCAATATCTCAACAAAATCACAGTTTTACGTTAAAACTCGGTTGAGGTTTTTTTGGACAGATTTCGTCTAAGTTATAAAAGACTGTGGGGTTACAGGTTTTAGCAATGAATCATGTTTTGTGGTAGTCTTGTGATTACTAAATCAAAACCCAGAAATTCGATTTTCTTTTTAGTCGCGCGGTGCTCTCAGAGATAAGTTTTATTCAATTTCTCTACCGGACAACCACGAGTTACCAACCATGGAGATTTCCTTAAAGAAAGACGAAAGAAATTCTTGAGAAGTTTATCGATAATGAAACAACAACGTGTTTTTAAAATACGACCACCTAAGCCGCATAATGAGGTCAACCAGTCTTAGCTAGCCTGTTCCAAGCGTTCAGATAGTGGAGAGCGGTGCAGAGTGAAGAAAGCGATTAGAAGTAGAGGGGGACTGGGGAGAGAGGTCTCACCTCTCCTCCTCCCTCGCTTTTATTTTTTTGCGCTCCTTTTTACTTCGCACCGCTCCCCACTATCTGAACGCCTGGAACAGGCTAGTTCTTAGCAATCCTTTAGTTATTTCCTTTTTCACTGCTTTTAAAATTTAGAACTTTCTGCCTGCTCAGTTGTCTTGAATTTAAAAAGCGCGCGCGAGTGATAGTTCAATCTTGGTCGGAATTCCGAGAGAGAATACCGATTAAGCATGCGGTAATGCAGATATGATTGTAGTGGCGGTGGGCGACAACGACTGACGGATTCAATTTTCAAATAATCCTTATAACATAATCGACGAGCGGCAGGTACAGAACACAAGCCACAGGTCACAAGAGTAGTTTACTGCCCTATTGGTAACTATCTGAGATAAGCAGTTAGTTCGCTCTTAAGCCGAAACTCTATTGCGGATTGTGAATAGGGCTAGCATGGTGACCTGTACTCTAACCTGTACTGGTGACCTGTGACCTGTGACATGCGCTTTGTACATGCCGACCTACGAGTGTACTTGACCTGGTTTGACTGTAAGCAGAAGGTTCTGTCTTTTTGGTATTGCAAAAATGCGCAAAACACATTTAAAAGGAAGGACATTCGATTTTGCCATATTTCACAAGTGAACATAATTTCCCCATCTCATCACTGATCTGAAAACTCTTCATACACCATTTCCAGAAAGACCATAATGCAGCTTGTTTAACCCCCCAAATTTTCATAATCATTGTCTTCGATTTTTCTCGGGAAGATTGTAATACCCAGGAGAAATTGGAAAGAATGGTTATGCAAAATTTGGGGGGCAAACAAGGTGAATTATGGTCTGTGCGAAAATGGTGAATGGCTGCCATTTTTTTCCCGCCATTTTAAATAAAGTCATGCATGCCAACATTATTTCATCCCTATACTTTTCATTTAGAACAAGAACGCTCTTAACATCGGTGTTTCGTCTCGCTTGCTTAGAGACTAGACAAGAAATGAGGAGATTAATTCTACATAAAACAGAATTTACTGGCTAAAGGTTTTTCACTTCCTACTTTAATTTATCGACGGTACTTTTAATACAGCATTCGACGATATTGTTTCTGATTGATTTAGTGCGCGTGTTGGCGACGGCCAAAAAATTCGAAAATTCGAGGGCCTCGATTCCAGAGAAATTACATCATTCCCTGAGATAAAAAACGTGATGAGAACATGGCGCGTCATTTCAATCATCGCCGAAAATAAACCGCATGCTCATCACAAGACTCATTTGCATACAATGAAAGTTTACAACACCCACGATCGAAGTTTTGATAATTGCGATTTTTCTTTTTTTTCCAACCACTAAAGTGTTCACTTGTTACAATGTAATCAAAAGTTTATCTTTCCTAAGCTTTCTTCGCAAACGTGCGTGGCTTTGGTCACGCAACGATTCTTATTCCCAGTTTCCACGGTCGCCGCTAGGAACGCCTGGGACCACAGCCGTCGTTTTGTGTACTAAATACGAAGAAAATAAAACGGCTTGCAGGGCTTCCGAGCCTGCGTAAGCAGCGAGACTAATAAAGAAACAAGCAAGAGAAGAAACGTCTTGAGTAAAAAGTTGGCTTTTCGTCCTCAAAACTCTATTTTTTCCGGTTTTTGGTCTCACAGCATCCATGTCTCATTTGCACTGGAGTCCCCTCGGGCATCCATCCCCCGCCCCTCCGTACTACGGTGCGGATGTGAGTTCACATGCACGGACGTCCGAAGGTTTAAACTATACTTCAAGAATCTCGACAATCTTTCTTGCGTTACATCTTAAGATATATATGATATATTTTTAGCTCGGCTATTTTGTAGACATATTTTAAGCTCGGGACAGTGAAGTTACACTTGCAACATCAATGGCAAGTAATACGCAAATTACAATGCATTCAAATGACTTAATAGACACGAGAAAGGTTGTAATAGTGGCCTTGAGGTTTTTTCATCATTCACAGGGGTCCTTACATCCTATTAGATTGTGATAAAACTAAAAAGGATAAAAAATTTTAACTCACTTTATCGACACCACCTCGCAGTTTGTTTGTAGCAGTCATTTTGAATTTCAAGTACTGGCGGTCAACTGGTGCGGGGTCTGGAACCAAGACGTTTACAGGAGGCATGGAAGCCCAACAAAATTTTCGGAAGATCCGATCGCTCGCCGAGAATATTTGCCATTTTCTTAGAAATTCCACAAAGATTTTTCGGTTTTTAGATTTGGTAGCAGCCGCCACGTAACAATAACAACAGCAAAACAAATATCTGTTTGAAATATGTGATGTTAAAACCTCGAGATTTTACAAAAAACGGGTTGGCTCATTAAAAAGTACTTTTGCCACCCAGAAATTGTGGATTTTCTGAGTTCTATTCCTACAGTATTACCTACAAAGAGTTGAACATTTCAAAGTTTACTAAATTTAACACGCTCCTCTGGTTACTGAAGTCTCCACTGGCTGATACAGACCTTCAGAGAAGGGGGGCCCGGTTATCCAGACCCTGAGATAAGGGGGGGGGGCAGTCTAAAATTTTTTTTTCGGCCCTTCGGACCTCAGTTTGGTCTAAAAATAAGGGGGGCGGCCCCCCCCGGATCCGCCACTGGTCTCGGACCCTGTAGGGGAATCCAAGACAATCTTGGTTTTTGGAATCCACGCCGTGGATTCTGGATCCCAGATTCTTTGTCAGTGGAGCTTGCATCTGGATTCAACTCTTTAGCGTGAATTTTTTCTTTGAGCTGTACTCCGGATTCCAAAGCCCAGGATTCTGGATTCCACACGCAAAAATTTCCCGTATTCCGCAGTCCAGGCCAGGTCCTTTAGACGAGAAAATCTCACCACCAAGCCTCAAGCATAATTCGTCGCGCGCAAACGCCACTTCCACATTTCCCATAATGCACCTTATTTGCCCTCCAAGATTTTGCACAACCTTTGTTTTTCATTTCTCATGTGTATTACAGCCGTCCAAAGAGGAATTGAAAACAATGTTTATGCAAAATCTTGGGGGGCAAATAAGGTGCATTATGGGACACGTGGAAGTGGCTTATTGACACTCTTTGTGCGCGGGTATTCTTTTTAACTGTACTGCCTTGGGAATTCATTTGTGCTAAACTTCACAGCTTTACAATTTCAAAACGATACTTGGTGGTGAGATTTGCCCATCTGTAACCTAAATATGCATAACGGCTATTCTCCAAGATGATATTACAACACCACGTAGAATTTCCTTTTTATTTCTTCCTTTATTTACATTTTTGAATTAACATGAACTTCACATTGATTGATACTATTGTATTTGGCTGCATGTCAGCTAAGGGATCATCTGTTCTACTTCAACGTCAACAATACATATATTTAAAATTTTAAATTCGTGGTAATAAACTTTTGTTCTCATATAAAATACGAATGACTTACTGTATTATGTTTTTTGTGTTTCACATTTACGTATGAGAAAATGACTGATTTCTATACGGTTCTAAAAGATTTTCTGATGAAATTACCAAAATAGACTCCAAAAATAATTCTCCAACTAAGAATTGATTAAGTGAATGAGCGGCCGAGAATTAAAAGCCCGAGAATTACAGTCGTCATCTTTACATCTTTAGGCATCATAAATATACATTAATCTTGAAACCGCTCAAGGATAAACCTACTGACTCCTTTAGCAGGCCTGGTGGTATTGGTCGTTTATTTTCGGAATGAAGACGAAGATTTAACGAACCGTTCCGAAATTCTGCACCAATCAGATACAACTTATAAATCTACGGAAAATGATCGGTTTCCCACCCAAACCTTAGGATGTTTGATGCAGTATTTTTGTCTCGAATTATTTTTCTAGCTCTTGTGTCCTTTCATTGAAACAAAGGCTGTCAAAGGAAGAGCTCAAAATAACGGATACCAAGAGTAAAAGGCTGTGGATGTCACAACTCTAGCAAAAGAACTCGCTTCACGTTACCTTAACAGGATATTGTAAGGAAAGAAATGTACGAAAACTGAGGATTAAAACTTGAGCAATAGAAAAAAAGTTTAGGTTTAAACAAAATTTCCACTTTCACATTATTGATAACAGTGTTCAGAGCTCTTCCTATATAAACATAATTCCACAAATCACGTGAAATTTCTCGCAAGGTTATAACCTTTGCACTGTTGTCTGGATCAAACTAAAACCTCAAAATACCTACACAGACCTTCAAAAGATTTTTTAAAAAGCTGAAAAACACTACCGTCACGAATCAATATATCTTTCATTAAATAAGACTAGATATTCCGGGTAAAGATTATTTACAGCCTAATCCCTGTAAAGGGAACCGGTTTGTCTTCGATATCCAAATTACAAAACTGACATTATTGTTGTTATGAGAAAGAAAATACATATATATTTCAGTAGCCCTTATAAATTTCTCTTTTATATCTAATCTGAGAAAACAGTCACTGCTTTGCGCTGCAACTATGTTCCCTTGCCTATACGGAGGGGGGGGGGCGATGAGGAAAAATTCTTGAACTACAAAAACATCAGTTTGTATTGAAAAGGATTTTGACAAGCGAGATCAGATTACTTCCACCAATCACGACAGCGCGTACTTTTGAATGGACCAATCTGAGCTCGAAGCAAATACGTGTGGCCGACAATAAAGGCGGGAAAAATTCTGCGACCACGTTACGATTGTTATCGGCCTCCTGATTGGCTGAGAAAAAAGCGCCATTCTAATGCGAACTATTCCTATCAGTCACTAAAAATATACTAAGCTGAAAATCTGAAGCAGAAATTTTGCAAATTAACTGTTGCTTTCAATTTGTACCTTGTCTTTTACGAGTGGCGATTCAAGAAAAAGGGCCTCTAGAAAGCCCCTGTCTATTCAGAGGGTATTTTGCAGAGAACATAGTCAATCTTGATGCACCGTCTGTCTTCTCAGATTATTACTTGCCGTAACATAAATTTGAAAACAAATTTTTTAGCCCCCGAATATCATTTAAAATTAAATTATTTGGCTATCTCCCCCCAGTTAAGACATATTTCCTACCCTAACGAAAAAATTTAAAAGCACTACCCAATAATAGCCAAGCTGATGAGACATCTATTACTTTAATTTTAACTTATCTACCGTCCTTAATTCCAATATTATAAAATATTTTAATTTGGTTTTAAATTATTGTAAAACGACCGCTTTTTCATCCGCAAATAGCGCCAGGCATCCTGATTTTTCTTTCATCAACATTTAAAATTGATTAGTATATTGCGGTAAGGTGCATTTAAATTTTTCAATTAAAAGCACTGATTTTTTTAGCCAAAACATACTGTCCAAATATAAAGCTCCCTGATAGTTGTACCATACCGAATGTCCTGATTTCGTATTTGTTCTCTAAGGCAAACGTCGTAGCTTTCATTAAGAGTAATTAAGAGTATCGCTTTCTTTAGTTCTTATTGATAACTAACGAATTAAGAGCGAATTTTACTCGTCAGTAGAACTGAAAAGCAATGCACCGTTTTTCCAGGTTGTCATGGTAACAAGGTAAGAAGCAAACATGGCATCAAAAAATTCAAAACAACGCCAAGGGCGAAATAACCAAGAAAAAATCCTATTTGCAACCATACTCAATATAAAATACAGCAAGTCAAGCTCAGATGTTTGTGTAGTGATGAGGGGTGTAGGGACTAGGCATCCCCATCTTATAGTCAAGGAAAAGCTTCATTTAGTGCAGTTGTCCATTTTCTGTACAATGTTTTAGGCTCTGGAAGAAAACACCATACAACCAGTATATACTAAATAGTTCAACCTGAATTAAAAAAAAAAATGAATTTTTGAACAAGAACTGGAAAATGTATATTTTTAAGCGCCATATTAACTACCACCACTACCATGACATTAATATTGCTGATTCACCTTTCACAATACAAAACAGATTTTTGCCTATCAACAAGGTGGAACAAACCATTTCGGCACAGGGAGAAGGCCAGCTGACATGTTCTGGACAAGATGACTTCTTAGTGAGTGCTAGCTAACCAGCGGAACAGGACTTGAAGAAGCAGAATTGGAGCTTTGTAATGGCATGACTGCTGAGTTAGCAAGTTCTAATAATGCGTCAGCACCTGCGATAGCGTTCATTTTCTCTGTTGTACTGTTATTACGCCCCCGTCTATGACGGGCTTGAGGTTTGTCCTTGCTTGAAACCTTTTTCTGTTCATTTTGGTCTTCAAGACCTTGGCCATACCCACTGTCACTCAATTCATCCTTGACAACTTTCTCCATTGTCTCATCAATTTCACTGTCTTCTTCATCAGAATCACCACCATGATCAAATTCAAACTCGCCGTCGAGTGAGGAGTCTGGGGAGATATCCTTTCGCATTCTCATAGAATCAATTCCACTTAGAGATGAAGATAACGTTACTTTCTTGTTCCTGTAAAGCGAGTTAGAGGAGCCAGTTATTGTATCTGTATTGTACTAGTGTAGTGAATGTTTGTATCGTAACGCCCATCTGCTGGGGGTAAATAATTATGATTTTATTTGTTGGTACAAGTAGCTAACTAAAATGAAAGTGTTGTCAATGACGTTTTTGCAGACCTCCTTCAAACTCCTCACAGCCACATTACTACTGGTTTGTGTCCTTCGAACTTTTTTATCTGTGGATGGAATCCTATGCTGTTACCATTCAAATAAAACCTTTTTAGCAGAACTTTTGCATGCTACTATTTATTTCTTGGGATGTTACAAAAACAAATTTGACTTTTTTGTGTGAATGTTTTCATTGGCCACTATTAGGAGCAAGAGGGGTTGACAACCCCAGACTGTCTTTTAACTCAGATAAAGTAGCAAGACCTTCATTAACTTCTTCCATGCCCCAAAAAAGTAATGTGCAGAGACCAGTGAATACTCTTTTCTGGCCGCCACCCTCTTTCCCAGATCAGGGGCAACCATGAAATTGTTTTTGAAGTATCCCTACCACCTGAGAGCCTGACACATGCTAGACCTTCTCTACTCTTACCTTCCATAGGAATCTGTCTGCAGGGAAGAGTGTGACTTGTCTTTTGCCATGGAGACAGCTCCAGAAAAGGAGCCCCTGTGTCTCTGTCTGTAGTAATACTCCTTTGCTCTCTTCCTTAGTGGATCTTCTTTATCAGTTTCAGAAGGTGGACAGGACTGGCAGCGAACCACTGTAAATAAATATCAAAAGGTGTTAGGACTATTTTAAAGGTGTTAAAGGATATAAAAAGAGAAATCCACTGACAAAAATCACTTACTTTCAGCAACACGCAATTCTGGAGGTGTACTTATCATACATATTGTCGCAACTGCTTCTGCTTCTGCATCAGGATCAATTTCAATTTTCCCTACAATTGCGGTAATAATCCAATGATTAGTGTTGTGTTGAAAGGTGCCAGCAGATGGTCTGTGGCCAGGTTGCGAGGGAGACCTCTTATAACTGCTTAGACTGCTACCCTTCTTCACTTGCTACCCATACAGCACCTAACCTACATACTTCAGTTGGATTAACTCTTAGAGTTTAATTAGAATAAAAGTTAAAAATATTAAATCATGTTTCTTACCAACGCCGTTTCCTAGGGTACCGCTGAAGAGAGAAGAGAAAAATATAATTAGTTTCTCAATGTTCAAGAATATCACTAAAACAAATTTCAATTTTAAGACTTTGAAAGGATTAGTTTGAATGGGTTATTGATCCATTCTTGAGGTTATAGAGTCGAGTTTTCAATGCTTTAAATTTAATACAGCACATGCATGATGAAAATGATGAGAATGTCCTTTACAATTCTATTTTAACGGGATGATTGAGGTGGAAGTTCAAGTCCTAAGCCATGCTTATAAAAATAGCTGACTGGTTTGCCTCCTGGTGAAAGTTGAGAGTTTTGCACTGGTTATGTCGCATTACATTCTTTGTTTCATTGATTTGATCGGCCCCATTAACCTTCATGCTACACACACTACTGAGGGGTAAAGAGGGAGATTTATTTATGCTTTTATCAACTCTACCTGTCTGAGGAATGATTTTTTGGTGATGGTGGTGGCGTCGTTAAAAGGTTATGATACGGGTGAAAAGCAGGGGTCTTTTTGAGTGCTTGGAGCAAGTTGGGCCTGTATTCCGGATCTACTGTCCACAAAGATCCTTTGCCAACATTCTGTGGAAAAAACTACTGGTGGGTTAGAATAGCGCAAGGTAAGAGACTTCTTGGGCAAAGAATCATTGAAACATTATTGTCAAACAAGACAATGTGGTTAAAATAATAATTTACCTCTCAGTCTGAATATATGTTAACCACTTCAAAGCCATCTGATAGAAAGCAAAAGCTACTGAGATGTACTTCCCTAAGGTACTGTTTATTTACAAGGTGGTTCTAACTTTTGAGTCTGTGGATGAAATCCTATGGTGTGACCATTCAAATGAAAGCTACTGAGCAGTACTTTCCTATGGTACTGTTTATTGTGCTGTACGGGGTGGTACTAAGGTTGATTCTGTAGATGAAATCTTCAAGAACCCACAACTAAGTTTCTGAAAACTACCTTTTGAATCTGCAGATGAAATCCTTTACTTAGTGCTGGCATTTTTCAAGTTCATATTTAAGAAGATCAACGATGTAAATAAAATGTCCTTCCTCACCTGTCCTTTATCCTTGTCTACTTTCTTGAAACATTTGTTAAGGGAAAGGTTGTGTCGAACAGAGTTTTTCCAGCCAAGTCTTGCATCACGGAAATATGGAAAATGTTCCATTATCCAGTTGTAAATGTCTTTAACAGGCAATTTCTTCATAGGAGCCTCCTCAATAGCCATAAAAATGAGCGACGAAAAAGAATATGGAGGCTTTGATGGACTCTTGCGTTTGTTAGCTAACGAGTCCGGGGAGAAGGGTCCTTTGGACTGTGCCCCTCTGGGAGGGGTCTCAAAAATGTCCCCATTTATGTCTGCTGTAGGGGAAACTGGAGGTACAGTTGCCGACACATCAAAATCTTTCAAAATATCATTGCTCTGTAACCAGTTGAGGCTGGTCAAGTCATCATCAGGCTCCCCTTTCTCTGTTGTAATGGCACCAAAACAACTCGAACTTAAACTGAATTTTGCACCCTTGTCAAGTGAGTTTTTAAAACCTGAAGCACCAACTGATCTACTCAGGTACGGCTTTGGATGTAGCTTTAGTTTATCCAGGTCTGGTTTTCGTATAGGCGGCATTGTTAATCTGCAAAGAAAAAACAAGATACTTATTAAAGATCAAGAAATATGTTGCCCTTTAAGCACAGCTGTTTAGTGCTTGTAAAATTGCCTAGGATTACTGAACTAAGACTTGTTACACACAATCCACATCGTTTATTAGCAACACAGAGAGATGTAGATGACTCCACATATATCATTTACACGACCCCGTGTAGGTGGATAGCACTTATAATACCTTGGTTGCAACAAATTTTCATCTGATTTACAGAGAGATTTTGAAGAATCTTTTTAGTTTCTTGAGTCTTTAACCTTCTGCTGAAAGTCTCACATTTCCACATAAGGATCCTAGTGTCTCAGCAAGTCTCCAATCATTTGTCTCAACCCGCACACAACAGTGACATTACACACTAGGGGTAACTTCATGTAAAGTATTCAACTGCAATAAATCTTTCAAATCATAAACCAGAACAACAGGCCAAGCTTCCATTCACCTTCAACGGATATCATGTATAGAAATTAACTATACAAGACATAAAACAAAAAGGATGAGAACTATGCTGAAAATATTTATGATACATCATAAATAATAAACACATTTTTGAGGGTTTAGTCATTGCAGATATTTATAGATCTTTGGCAAAGAAAAAAATTCTTAATGATCTTTCAAGGTACATATCATTTTTATAAAAAATTGTGTTGCAGTAAAAAGGGCAACCTTCTGTAAAAAAAATGATTGTTATGCCAGTGTAGTAAAGCGAAAACATTTTAGCCACTAAAAAATTTGCATAACCAAAAAACGGATCTTAAAATTTAACCTTGACAATCAATGAACCTAGTGGGCATGCCTCAGGTCACAGTATTTCTTGTTACATATGTCAATTTTTTTGACAAGTGTAAGCTTTTCAAGCCCAAAAAATGCTCACTTTCCTGGAGAATACTGCCAGAGCTACAGATGTCCTTCAATATTGCAAAAACTATATGCTGATAAATGTCAAGGCAGTGAAGTTTTCAGTTTTTACTAGAGGCAATACATACAAGCCAAAATTACGTTTCTTAGCAACTAAAATTCTGGACTAATAAGTGTTCACTTTTTAATGATCTTTGTGCCGTTCCCTCTTTCATTCATTTAACTAACTGTACCTTTAATTACCTTAATGCAGTGAAAGCTCAATACAAAAAAATCTATGATGAAATCCTGTTATAAAAAATGAAATTCTTCATTTCAGTTACCAGAACCAGATAAAACACAGCTATAACAAACAAATGTATATCCAGTTCATCGTCACTTAATTCTTACATTGGGATCTAAATGTAGCAGTGGTTTTATTGGAGAAATCTGGCAGTACAGAGATAAGTTAAGCTTGCTTCATCATGATTTTCAAGTACTAACAGTCAAATGTGCGGCATGTTTGCGTTTTTGTGACACCCTTTTGCATAACTCATCAACGCCAAATGACATCATTGAAATGTCTCTAATGCCAAGTGGACCACCGTCTTTTGTGTGTGGTGCCCAAACTTTAGTGTAAGTCGTTTTCTTTCATACCAGGGGCTCGAAAGAGGCCTGGGAACTAGTTCACGGACTCAAAAGAAGCCTGGGAACCAGTTCTGGGACTCCAAGAGGCCTGGAAGTACTTTTTCAACCCACTTCCAGTTCTTGAGCATCACACTTCCGGTCATGACATGACCTTATGTAACAAATCAAAATCTAACCTGCAAACTACAACCTGGACTTCTTTCTTTAATTCTATTACTTTTCTTTCCCACAAAAGAAGTATGCTCATAAAAGCCAGGGGAAATTCCCAGCCTCTGGCCATTGATGAGAGCTGTGTTGTGGAGGAGCAGCCATTTGAAGAGGTTCATAGGTATTCACCACAACCTACCACCCCTTTCCCTGGCTGGTAATAACTCGACTTGATGCAAATACTGTCAGGTTGTTGTGAGTTGCAAAAGCACAGCATACATTGCCTGATATCAACTAATGAATTATGTGACATGTGGTTCTATAAAAGAAACATCACAAGGAACGAATGAGGCAATCAAGGTTAACACTACTGCACTATGACCTCATCTCCTGCAAAATCGTTTTAAGATCTGTTTTCGCAAGCAGTATTAACATCATTTTACCTTGCTGCAAAAGTCATGAGAACTTCTTTCTTTCCCCTTCTCAGCTGAAATAATTTTTATATTTACTTCAAATAAACCATGCAAAGGTCATTTTCCCTGAATCAAGTTACATTTGATTGACGTTTAAAGCAGAAAAACAACAAGAAAATAGTATTAAGTTTCAAGTCAAGATTTTTGCGGAACAAAACTTTCCTAACGCCTAGCAACCCAATGGAATGAGCACACTATAAGCATGAGCACACTATTTGACCAAAAGGCAAATTAAATGAGTGAGTTAATAAAAGAATCATGTTTTTCAGCACTTACAGTATAAAATATGAAATTTTTTTTTTTCAGCTTTGGCTTCGTCTATGCTGAAAGTAAAAGACTTCATTTTCCTGCAAGCATGCACTGAGTGGCATGGTGTAAGCTACAAGTTTTATTCTTAGACCTGTCTGTTACTGATAAAAAAAGCAACAAAGTGACAATAAACAGCGAAATTGCAAGACTGTATTTTGAAGTAAGATCTACACTCTGTAAGTGACAGGACAATAGTGAAAAAGTTATTTAATCTTAAGGTGATACAAAGAATTCTGTCACTGTGCTTATAATTAACCCTTAGAGACTGCTTTTGTTTAGTATACAAAAGTTACCCTCTGGAATCAAAAGCTAAGCACTTAAGACATATGGAAATGCGATTAGGCAAATTAGCTGTTTTTGTAATTAATACCCCTTGTCTGCTATTTTAATATATATAAGTCCAGTTGATCTTGTTTGTTAACAAGATAGAATTTCCACTAGGGAATGCCAAGCAAAAATCTTATTGAGGAGTCTAGTCCATTGATTCTAAATATCCTGGAAACATAAAATTTTTTGTGCAAAACAAATTAAACAGTTATTCAAGACTGCATCCATTTTAAACTGAGGTCAAGTAATTCATTTCACAGCAAGATGCCGTCAAAGAGCTATTAATATTGTCCACCCTGTCAAAATAAGCATTTAGTCATGCAATAAGAATCAACAGTAATAGCATTTGCATGTCTTTGAGTGCCACGCATAAAGGCCGACTTTTTGAGTAAGTTTGCATCTTGCACAGTGCCCTGTCATAGGCCATTTTATCATAGCTTTCACAAAACTTGCAGGCTTTTTTTCAGATTACAGTATGGTATTAAAGGTTGAAATTTGAGTGGGTTAATATTCACATTTCACAGTTGCCTAGAATTAAGTACCCTTACTGTTTTCCTCTCCATTTCAGAATGATTCAATGTTTTTCATTTTTTCTTCCATTCTTTTGCATCTACAGCATTTTAGTCAAAGGTAACTCTTATCCATTGAGGCCCTTATTATCACTGCTTTCCTCCCGAACACTTATGACCAGCTTGTGCTGCTCTAGCATTTGAATTATCAAACATAAAACATTTTACAACAAAAAAATGTTCTAGAAAAATCTTGTTTTATGTGGGTATTGTTAACCAGAAAATACAGGATGTGGCCTCGGGGCTGCAGTAAACATAACTGCAATTAACTGCCAAGAACTTTTCATTGAAATTAAGTTTCTTAATTCATATTTTTCTCAAATTCCCTTTTTGACTTACTGTTACTGAATTTAATATTGCCAAGAAATTATGAACCTTTACTAAATGAACCAAGATCCACGGGAAAAGAAGAATTGACTGCTTTGTTTTCGGAGACACAGACTGTTGATAATTTGCCCAGTTAAGTAAATAAAGTGGTCTTAGTTAAAACCATAATTCTAGAAACTCGACTCAAACACACACACAAAATAATAATCAGGGCTGTCAATAAGGGCCGGTAGCGGGCAAAAACCGCCGGCTAGTTAGCCACCCTTACCTGGCTACTTTCATCTCCTTCTACCATAACTGCTAACAAGAAATAAGCACTATCAAATAAAATTGTAAAGCATCTGTTTGCCAGTTTTGAATGACATTGAAGGCATATTTGACAGGTTTAGATCTGTGAAACGTTCGAACCGTGCGATGTTAATGTTGAACGCCTGGGACATTTCGACGACATTGTTCCCTGACTTGGGTGTATTCTCGATGCAACATAACGACGCGGTTGAAATACCTCTTGAAAACCTATGGAAATGGCATTTCTGAGACTCTAAATATTTCAAAATGTTCCCAAATGCCTCGGCCCTAGGAAACTTGTGCCTTTGGTGCTAGTTCCAACGCCACCTACTATTCATTACCAGCCTGCTACTTAAAAGCTTTTGGACAGTCCTGAACAATAATAATAATAACAATAACAGAATTCCAGACACAAACATTTTATAAGCAAATTTTTAGAAAAACAGTTACATTAAAAAAAAAACAGGAAGCAATATATTATTTTATTATTTAGGAAAGAGAATAAAGAGAATGAAATGTAGGGTGAAGCTCAGAATTTAAACATGCATCATCAAACATTTAACTAAAACATTTGACCTGGCTGTTGAGTAAACAGAATCTCTAAGAAGATGGTTGCTGTAATTCAAGCTGGCTCACAGATTTGACGGTACAACTTTCAATAATTACTCTTCAAAACCTGCACTTCCTCACAAAAGTGCAAGAATTACAAGAACCAATCCATGTGTGCAGAAAAATAATACTAATAATTTACAGGCTCAAGTATAAAATGCAGTTTTGATTGCACCTAAATTGCAGCATAAAAAAATGGCCTTGTTTGGTCTCAGATTTATTGCTGATACTTTTTAGTTTGAAGTGCGCTAATTTTTCTGGATAAATAATTGAACTGTAAGAAAAAAAATGTACTGGACAAAAAAGTCGAAAGAAAAGGACTAATACTAGACAATAATATGCTAGTTGCTAAGATACAATAAAAAACAGTAATATAAACCAAATAAAAAAGCGTCAGGTGCATTAAAACAAAAGAAACTGTTGCTCAAAATAAAAATATTGTGCATCGTTCCTTTAACACGACTGTGACAAGTACAGCAAGGCTAGACATTAAAACTCAACTCTTTCAGTCTCGCAATGATTAATAAAATTAGAAACGTGATCACAATATGACTTTCACATTAAGCCTGCCACTCCTGACTCCTCCATAATTTTTGCATGATTTTTAGTTTCTCAAAATTTTTACAAATTTTAATGCAATTGGATGTTTCTAGAAAGAATTTTGAGCACTACCAAGAATTGATTTACAGTAAAAAAAATTCTATGAATTTATGGCAGCCATATTCCCTAGCAACATCATCTGAAGCATAAACAATATCCTTTGTTCAAGACAGTAATTTTCATTTCTTTAATTGCTTTTAAATTTTTATACCAAGTTTACAATAGAAAGGAGAAATTGCATGATTTAAAATGCATACTCTAATAATTAATCTTGTTGCCTTTTACTTTTCCCTTTTCATTTTTTAACTTTCATTTTTCAGTGAGCTTGACGGTACCTGGTACATCCTTTCAAGGCATACAAGTTTTTTTCAAAAATCAAAGTTCATGATCATCACTTTCTTGAATCTTCCACATTGGAAATTAAATTATATTGAAATTGAGACCAAAAAAATTAGAGGCCACTGTGCACTGTTCAAAGCTCCAAATGTTTACTCAGAGCATATTATAAATATACACTTCATCTCTCTAAGCAACCCTCTGCATGCCAAAAAAAAAAATTATATATATATACAGTTCTTAGCAGGTGTACCCTCTTGCGAATCAGGAGACACAAAGCTTTGAATCTGACCAAAAATATATATCACTGGTGAAGTTGTGACCCTTGAAGTCCCAATAGTGACTAACGTCAATTTTCTCCTAATGATATCCATAGAATGTCAAGCGATTAGGTTATGAGAATTAATAAAATGATCACCTAAGGGAAAATGCCTTGATCTTTTATCAAATTCTCTCGACTTATTCTTGAAGGAAATGTATAGAGATCAGTTTGGAGAATTTGTATGTGGATATTGGGGCTTAAAGGGTTAAGGAAGCTCAGGATTATCACACAAGGACATGGCATTCATCATGACAGAAAAGCAGCAAAGTTCAAACAGGGAAGAATTGAGAGCAAAAGAAAAACACAAAAAACAGGATCTAGAAATTTTTTGGCAAGTCAAGATGTTTTGCCATCGTTGATCAACTTTTTAGTATTTCTTTTAGCTTGTTCCACGCTCTCAGGTTTAGTAAGGATGTCGCAAAAAGCAGGGTCAAAGCAAAATAAGATTTGCCAGACCTGGGAAAAGGGGGTGGTAGCATGAAAAAAAAAAGAGAGCTTCTCTCTCTCAGGGTCCTGTGCATTTTTGAAAATAGTTATCATGATCACTTGACTAGTTGGAGCCTAGAGCAGGCAATATTACTCTCAATTCTGAATCTTACAGCTGTTGATTTGACCACTTGTATCCGAGGGCTGTGATTTAGCAGGAGTGGGTGACCCCTGGCCCCTTACATAGCATGCGAAAACAGCCGTTTCTCTTTGCTTTTCACTGCTGGGGACTTTTCACCGAGAGGAACGTCTACGTCTCAGTGGCACAAATTCCATACTGATGATTTAAATCAATGTTCACATGATTAAAACTGGTAGTCATGAAAATTTGTTCAATTTTACATTTTTCTAGGTCGATTTTGATAAACTGTTGTGTTTCACATTCACATTTGACCTTTGTGGCCTTTTTTATCTTTTGCCTGTAACTCGTAAACAATAGCTAAAACAATGTAACTACTCTGTCGACCAATCAGCACTTCTGAGCAGA